AAAATAGGATGACAGTATTATAGTTAGTTGGCTTTCTGTAATAAAACTCTGTGCTAATGTAAAGCAAAATTCAGTGAAGTAAAAAAAAAAATCAAGTCAGTATGATTGGGAAATAAAGATCAAAGGAATCAGAGAAAGAATTTTTGGTCCTGCTGAAATAGAAAAGATTTAGGAATTTTTAAAGCAATGCCTCCTTGACAATTGCTGCATGTCTCTCTTCCCCATCAATAGAGAAAGGATTATCTCTTTGCTCTGGCTTAAATAGTTATGCTAAAGGATTAGTAATTTAGGAATTTTAAAGGATTTGATTTGGCTCTTTGGGTAATTCAAAGAAATAAAAAAACAATAATGGAGTGAGTGTCATGATGAATTTTTGAACATGAGTTAACTAAAAACAATTGACCTTTGGTGTTTTTTTTAAAATGAGATTTTAAGTACTGCCACTAGTAATTATAAGTCAAAAATTAATTGGGTCGAAAACTTTTGTTGTAGGAGATTAGAAGAATTTAATCAGTCGTGGTGTATACTAGGAGATAACTATTCACACCTATCTCCCAGGGTTGTTAGGAGAAACGCATAGTTGTCAAGTGCTTAATGTTGGGGTTCAGGGTAAAAATGATGAGGTGCAAGGTATGTGAGTGTCAGAGCTGTCTTGAAAGAATTCACTCAGGCTGTCTCCAAATCAAGTTAAGGCGTTTATTCTGGATAACACACCAAGCAGGCTCCTCCTTAAGGGAGGTTGCCACCCCTTAAGGGAGGCTGCAGCTTAAGGGAAATCCCAGTTAAAAGGGGGGCAGCCCCTTAAGAGAGACAGCCACTCCTTAATGGAGACAGCAGCTCCCTAAAAGAGACATTCCCCCCACTTCTACCTCCTACCCTACCCCTCTCCCCAACCCCCAACCTCTGTCAGCAGGGAAAAGGTAGGGATTCTTATAGAGGAAAATCTGCTTCGGGTGGGGAAGTGAGGTAATCAGGGACAGAAAGGTGGACAGGAAGGTGAAGTAACCAGAGATATGGAGGCAAGGGGGTGGTAGAACAGAGTTTTGTGCATACCTAGGTACATCATTATTCCACTGTTCAGCCCAGGGCAGAGGGGCCCCTGTTAGTTTTGGTATTTCATTTTCATTGACCCGTCTATTTTGAATCTCATCATCTCCAGAAAGGCTTCAGCTAAGCTCATCATCTTCCCCTTCAAGAAGTAGGTACCTAAATTTATTTGGAAAAAAGGGAAAGGGTCATGCATTCCTCATTAATACCCCCTCAAATAGTGGGGACCCAAATTCGTTTGGGGACATGGGCGGAGGTCTCATCCTTCAGAACTATTTCAGGCTAACAAACTGAGCTTGACAAGTAGAGCTGTCCCTAACTCATTGGGATCTGGGAGGGAGTGATGGGCTGGAACCCAGCACAGGCCCCCCCAAGGGGATGAGGGGTGTGTATGGGCTGGTATCCTTCTGACAGGGCCATCTGAAATTTTATTGAGATTAGCCTGGAGGACACAAACTTGGTTAGAAGTTTCAAAAAGCAAGGTCTGAATGTTAAAAACAGCAAGATAATCCGAAGGGGGTGGGGGGCAGTCAGGAGTGGCAACAGGAGAGTTTAAAAAAAAAAAGCCAGGAACCCCAGCTCTGTGCTCCAGAGAGGAGCAGCTGACTGGGAACTTCCTTCATCCATTGGGCCTTTTCCAGTTTGTTTGCAACATGTGTCTCAACCTGCTTTGAATTATTGATATAAACACAGCATGATGTGTTAACAAGGGCACAGACTCCACCTTTATAACTATCAGCAAGCGGGGCTTGAAAACACCTGGCATCCTCCATTTTGATTCCTCATAGCTTTTTAAAACTTTGTCTATTGACTTTCAAATCAAGCTATATAATTTTCATTCTCAATCTTTCTTCTTAAAATAAAGTCAAACTTGCTTACACATGTTTAAACCATCTGAAGCTGGCACAAGGGTACCCTAGAGCAACTATCCAAGGACAGGAGGTGCTTGGATGTCCCCCATTTGTCCCTAGATATTTTTAATCTGCTTTCCATATTTTCTTTCTTTCTTTCTTTCTTTTTTTTTGCAAGGCAGTTGGGGTTAAGTGACTTGCCCACCCAGGGTCACACAGCTAGTAAGTATCAAGTGTCTGAGGTCACATTTGAATTCAGGTCCTCCTGAATTCAGGGCTGGTGCTCTATCTACTGTGCCACCTAGCTGCCCTTGCTTTCCAAATTTTCAATCAAGCCCTTTTTTATCTTTCTAAATGTTTCAAACCCATTACTCAGACTACTCAACTTTCCTTTACATTTTAACTGCAATACAAAATAGCTCATAAGTTATTACTCTCCACTAACATAACTGTGCTGAAATCCTATTGCTTAAAACAAAAAAGGTTCCTGACTTTAATTTCACAATGCAATAGATCCACAATCTTTGTTTCACAAGCTTGTTTGCCCTTCTCTAATTATACTCATTCTGAAAGAATGAGATACTTAGGAATTGAATCTTATACATACGATAAATTCAAACATTCATTTCAAACACTAAGCCATGGAATGACTACAAATTCAGATCAAAACAGCAAGATCTCCCATACTTATATTGTGCTCACATCTTTTACTGACTATTTGTTCTGATTATAGAAATTTTCCATAAAAGGAAAAAGCAAGTAAATGATTATACCAGCATCAAGCTGGTCCTTCAGGCTTACACCTAAGGACACATATATGACAGGATAAAGCATCCTTAGCTCTGTTTGGTGTCAGGTTAAGAGTCATGGTTTAATAATTCCATCTCATAGCTAGACTCAGGAATAGTCAGGTAGGAAGCATTCCTTTTCAAAAGAACACAAAGGAGAAAATGAGCTAAGAGGATCCTCCCTTAGGCTGATGCCAAGATTGTCCTCTTGGCTTTTTCCAGATGCAAACCTCTACCTGTAGCAGTTCAGGGTCACATTCTCTCTGAGAAGCTTGTGGCATTTCTCTCAAATGGTGGATTACTGATTCATCAGACAACTACACCTAAATTCAAATTCAAAACAGTATCAGTTACAGTTGCTAAAGCTTTTACCTCAAATGGGAAGTTTCACTAATCACAGCTTAGGGCTGGATACAATTTTTTTGCTCTCATGGAGTTGCAATAAGCAATAAAAATTTACTAGGACTCACGTAACATAAGAGATTTCACTTATTATCTTTCACTTGTTTTTCTTTCCTTCTCAAAATTGAATTTATCTTGGTATAAAGACCAATCATTAGAAATCATTTACCTAAACAAGCCAAGTTCATTGTTTAGAAACTTCATAACCCAAACAAGCTCTTTTCCCCGGGCTAATGACCTTGCCCATACAGATGATTTCCAGGGATTTGGCAAGTTTACAGAGTAAGGAGAATTGACAGGGACCAAGGAGCTAATATGCCTGCCCACTCCACGATATTTTCCTCTGGACTGTTGTAAACCACATATTTTCTGGAACTAATGCAAAAGTTTACCAAGTTGAAACAACATTATGTATTTGAAACTTGAGACAAACATGGAAACTTTTAGCAATTAGGTCAACGATTAGGTAAGTTTAATCTTCTTGAATGCATGAACCAGTATTTCCTAATTACTTTGTACAGAAAACCATTCATCTCATCATTAACATGTTGAAAATACAACTTTAAACCACCTTATATATTTTCATAATAGTCAAAATTTTCAACAGAAAATTTACTATCATAGTTTATAACTAAATATACCTCATTAAATATTTAACAGTTTTCAAATTATCTAATTTTTTATTACATCCTTTTAAAAGTCCAATTCATATGCAACAAAATTCAGATTAAAAATTGCTTCATCACAACACCATTTCTGGCTCGCAATGGTCCCTCAAATTTTACAATATAAGAGGGTTTTACAATACAATTTAGAAATACAATAACACAACCAATAAACTTCAGATGATATCAGTTGCATTTCCAAATTATCACATATAAAAAATATTGATAGAAGGGTGAGCTTACCAATTGCAGAGGCTGGATGGCTTCCTACCTTGTACTGCCAGCTGGGCATTGCCTAGGGACTGGTGCAGCTGGTGCTAGGGCCTTCCCAGTAGTGAATTTCTAGTGGTAGGGCTCAGGGAATGCTGGTCATAGGGCCCTAATCAATCCCCCTTTTCCTTCTCCCCACAGCTGCAGGCTGGGGCTGCTTGCAGCTGCTGGGAAGGGTGGGTAGGATGCACTGAACCTGGGTGATACTTTCAGGCTTTGTCTAGAGGGGTGGGCTGCAGGGATCCCAGGGGCACAGGGTCATTGCTAGTGAGGCACCCGCTGAGGTTGCTACTCCCCATTCTTCCTTTTACCAGGTTGGGGAGGGTGACTCAAGTTCCCTACAGTCCTCCAGCACTCTCTTCTCTTAATCTGATCTGGGATGAGAGGGGTTAACAGGAAAACATGGGGCTGTTTGCAATCCCTAAACTAAGATATCCTTTTGACTCGGGAAGGGAGTGAGGAATGCTGAGTGATTGGGATTGTGAGGAAGTGTTTCAGAAGGGGGTGAACTCCTGGAATTACCCCTGCAATCTAAGAATGGTCAGTTTCCAAATTCCTTAAAAATTAATCTCAAAACTTCCAGAATCTTCTAAGATGTTTTTAGCTGTTCTAACTTTTCACTATAGCCTCAGCCTGGCCAGAGCCAGGACCTCAGGGAGAAGAGTCTTAAGAATTTTTTTTTAAATTTTTACTCAAATAAACTTCACTTCTATGTCCATCCCTTAAAAACTTAGAGTGGGGCCTTGAACCCACCAGATAGGTGAGTTGGGACTCTGGAAAAAGATCCAGTTAGCACCTAGTCCCTTCTCCCCAGTACTAGAGAGCTCAAGGCTTCACTTCTATCTTTTTCTCTCTGTCATGCACCTGCTTTCAGCTATGATCTCACAAAGTGACAGCATCTACCTCATAGCTAGCACACAGAGGCACAGACACAGAGCAGACTGACATGACAACTACAAACAGAGTGCACAGATAATGACAGGGGAAGTCCAAAAGCTTGGAGAGGCTTGTTAGAAATCACCATCACAGATCAGGTCACTTTGCTTGATCCTCTAGATACACTGAGGCCCCGGTTAGTTTTGGTATTTCATTGACCAGTCTATTTGAATCTCATCACCTCCAGAAAGGCTTCAGCTAATCTCATCACTTAACACATGCCTGGTTTGAGTAAGGGATGAGCACCGTAATATTCAGACCTTGCAGGAATACAAATGAACAACATGTTATCCCTATTTGCAGTACTTTTTTCTAATTTTCAAAGAATGCTAACAAAATTGAGAAGTTATAGACTAACCGTTTTAAAGTATTACTAAAAAACAGACTTAAGCAACTTTCAAGACATAGAAAGAACCTGGCATGTGGTAGGTACTATATAAACTACTATGATTAGCATGAAAGATAAATGACTTTCTATGAATTGATAAATTTCAAAGGTATTTACCTAAATTATTATCACCTGAGTGATGATTTTTAAATACAAGAAGGCTAAGAGAAGCTATTAAAGCAAATTTCTTCCTCTTTTCAATCTGAATACTGTTATATTATAAATATATGTATATATAAATATATTATAAATATATATTGTATGATTATTAGAATGTATTTTGCTTTAAAAATCAAATGATAATAATAATAATAGTAAATGACTTACTGTTGGGAGAAAAGCATGGTAAAATCCTCTTAAAAGATCTTTGTCTGTGAAGTTCCTTGGGATGAATCCTGCAACAACATGTCCTAAAATATGCAGCAATATTGTTTGAGGAACTAGGGCCTCTCCCACCCAAATGGAGAAATGAAACTTTTGAATAGTGGTATCATTTGGGCTCATTTAGAAACTCACGTATCTTTTGATGCTATTATTTTGAACCAACCATTCACTGTGTATGAATTTGTGATGAAGAAGTAGAAATAGTAATATAATGCTAAACAGGTCTTTTGGATCTGGGTGACTGAGGGAAAGTAAGCCATTCCTCCCCAGAATTTCTATCACCGTCTTTAGTTCTTAAGGGGGGTGTTATTCTGGCACACAAGGGATAACAGATCCAATTAAGCAAGAGTGGGTTACTCCAGATACCACCATGGTGGCAACTTGCATCACAGCTACTTGTCCAATTTATTTAACTTTTAATCAGCTTGTGTTTCAAGTCACATCCATCGGTGGCCATCTGCTAGCTTGCACCCCTCTTTAAGCACTTACAGAAAAATATTATTATTATTATTATTATTATGCCCATCAGTCCTTGATGAAGGTTGAACTCTTCCCTAGTTCTAAAGCCACAGCTCTCTTTGATACCATAGCTTTTTAAATGAAAACAGTCAATACAACAAAATGGAGGTTTTTAATTGGGGTGAGTTGCAGCTCAGGGTGCCACACAGCAAGTGCTGGGGTACCCAAGGAAGGGGGTGGGAATAGGACACTAAGGCAGAGAAAATGACTAAGGTGCAGGTGAGAGAGCTTAGGCATCTCACAGTTTCACAAGGTAAGTTGTTTTGTGTAACAAGCAAAAGTCCACAAAGAAAGCTTGAGAATCTCTGGAGGAGAGAGTTTGGGAGGCTGAAAGTGACGAAGTCTAATCAGCCCAGGCAATTTATTAGCCTGGGAAGGAGACCAGAGCAGTTTCAGGCAGTTTTCAACACTGTTTGTCAGCTTTTACCAAGGAAATTGTACCTATGTGTGACCCACTTGTCTACATGGACTCTGATATGGGGCGGGGCAGGGTAGAGGGGCAGTCTCATCTCATTGTATTCTAAACATAATCTGGTGGTCCCTTTGGCTTTATCTGCAGACCAAGGGGGAGGGAATGATGGTTGTGAATAGATAAAATCTGTGAATAGATGAAAAAAATTCTAGCTGAAATTTTGAGGCTAATACATGAGAAAAATAACAATTATCAAGCCCTAAGCCATAATCGTGAAAGTTTGCTGTTTGAGAAAGAGTCTCTTGGTACTATGGTTTGCTTCTATTCTAAGTCTTGAATCCGGGTATATGTGTCTGACTTCTCATAAGGCCTCTGGTTCATCATTCAAGGGAATTGCCATGTGCCTCTGCGATGTGAAGACTGCCTCAGGTGGATGTCTCTCCTTGGGAAAGTGAAGAGAATGACCTGGTGAAAGTGAAGTTAAAATTCTCTTGGCCTATCCTTATCCTGGTAAATAAGACATTTTCCCACCTGGTTAGTTTTGAGCTTTTCTATGACATTCTGTCATAAATTGGCTGCCTATGAATCATACCTGAAATTAAATAGAACTAATGTTGCTATGTCCCTGCCTTTCTCCTCATGTAGCAAATTGTATTGATAAGGGCAAGTGCAAAAGAAGATGGTGATTTTTTTAAATTAAGTTATGCATGCTAGTATAGTAAGGGATCATTTTGAATTGTCATTTGAATCACAAATTGACTATGAAGCCTTGCAATTGGTAGATTGTTTAATTTATGAGATCACCGTATAATATTCTTTCAACTTATTTCTCTCCACTCCCTCCTTCCCCACCCGTTGAGAAGAAAAGAAATGTGGTACTCATTATACTTATGAAGTTATGCAAAACATATTTCCACATTAGCCATGTTGCCCCCTCCCCCCAAAAAGCAAGAAAAAGTAAAAAAAAAAAATATGCTTCAGTCTGCACTAAGAGTCCATCGGTTCTCATTCCAGAGGTGGATAGTATTTTTCATCATGGGTCCTTTGGAATTGCTTGAGTCATTGTCTTGACCACAGTAGTTAAGTTTTTCACAGTTGATCATTCTTAAAATATTGCTATTACTGAATACAATGTATTCCTGGTTTTGCTTACTTCACTTTGCATCAGCTCATCTGAAACATTCTTTGTTATTTTTTTTTTATAGTATTCCATCACGCTCACATACCACAACTTGTTCAGCCATTCCATAATTTCGTCTTGGTCACTGACTGTATGACTTTATTTGTAAAATATGACAGAGCATACAATCTTTAAATTCCATTCCAACTCTGAAACCCTCTGATCCTTTTACCTTTGGTCTCATGATCATGCCAGCCTTTTGCTGTCACTTTCCAATACTGAGTCCATTCCCACTCCCTGCCTTTGATCATGATTGACATCCCTTTTGAGAGACTGACATTTCTTCTCTTCTTGAGCTATTTCAAATCCTACCAAGTCCCTCAAGGTTTAGGCTCTTCCACCTCTTCCAGAGAGCCTTCCCTTTTACTCTCTGGCTTATATTGATTTCTCCTTTCTCTAAACTGAGAACAGCTATAGTCTGAACAATAAAAGTTAACATTTGGTAAACTTTCCATAATTTTCTGATATTTTGATTCAGCTAGATGATGAAGTGGTTAGAATACTGGACCTGTAATGAGGAAGACCCGAGTTCAAATCCAGCTTCATAAACTTAATAGCTGTGTGACTCCAGTCAAGTCACCTAACCTTGATTTGCCTCAGTTTCCTCAATGGTAAAATGGGGTACCTATCTTGTAGAATTGTAGTGAAGATCAAATAATATAATATTTGTAAAGTACTTGGCAAACTGGCACATAACAGATGCTAAAGAAATGTTTATTCTCTTCCCTTGCTTACCCTAACAAAGATTGTAAATTGAAGCTAAGTACAATTGAAGTACATCTTTAATTTCTTCCTTATCCTATATAGCAGCTAGGCATACATAACAGGTATTCATTAAATATTTGTAGCTATTGTTTCTGGTATTCATAAGTGAGGAAAGGACTTCCAGAAGGTATATTCTAGTCTAAGAACTTGGAAGCCAAAGAATAAAGAAATACTTTAAATAAGACTTCTTTTCTGAACTAGTTTGAATTAAGCTTTAAAAAAAAAAAAGCAGAAATGACAGGGTTTATCTGGAGAAAATTATTGATGGAATTTGCATTTCTCTAATGAAAAGTGATTTAGAGCACTTCTTCATATGTTTTGATTTCTTCATCTGAAAATTGCCTGTTCATATGCTTTAACTATTTATCAAGTGGGGAAATGGCTTTTATTCTTATAAGTCTGACTCAACTCTCTATATATTTGAGAAATGAGGTCTTTGTCAGAGACACTTGTTTCTCAGCTTTCTGCTTTCCTTCTAATCTTGGCTGCGTTGGTTTTGTTTACAAAAGCTTTTTAATTTAGAATAATCAAAATTATCTATTTTACATTTCAAAATGCTCTCTATTTTTTGTTGGATCATGAATTGTTCCCCTCCCTGTAGATCTGACAGGTAGAATATTCCTTGCTCTTCTATTTTGCTTATGGTGTCTAAATCATGCACCTCTTTTGATCTTATCTTGCTATACGGTGCGAGATGTTGGTCTATACCTACTTTGTGTCTTACAGCTTTCCATTTTTCCCAGCAGTTTTTGTCAAATAATGAGTTCTTATCCCAAAAGCTAGGGACTTTGGGTTTATCAAACACTAGGTTACTATGGTCATTGACTATTGTGTCTTGTGTACCTAATCAATTCCTCTGATCCACTACACTATTTCTCTAGCTAAACCCTGTTGTTTCTGCTTAAAACAACTCTGAGATACCACCTCACATTATCAGATTGGCTAACATGACAAAAAAAGGAAAATGATAAATGTTGGAGAGGATGTGGGAAAATTGGGATACTAATGCATTGTTGGTGAAGTTGTGACCTGATCCAACCATTCTGGAGAGAAATTTGGAAGCATGACCAAAGGGCAAGCAAACTGTGCATACCCTTTGATCCAGCAATACCACTACTAGATCTGTATCCCAAAGAAATCATAAAAAAGGGGGAAAGAACTTATACGTGCAAAAATATTTATAGCAGCCCCTTTCATTGTGGCAAAATATTGGAAATTGAGGGGATGCCTATCAGTTGGGGAATGGCTGAACAAGCTATGGCATATAAATGTAATGAAAACTGTTGTGCAATAAGAAACAATAGGCAGATTTCAGAAAAACCTGGAAAGACTTGTATTAATTGATCCAAAGTTAAATGAGAAAAACCAGGAAAAAATCGTACACAGCATGGGCAACACTGTGTGATCATCAGCTATGAATGACTCAGCTCCCCTCAGCAATACAGCGATCCAAGATGGTGCAAAGGGCTCATGATGGAAATGCTAGCCATGTCCAGATAAAGAACTGATGGACTCTGAATGCAGATTGAAGCATACCTTTTTGACTTACTTTGTTCTTTCTCATATTTGTTTGTTTGTTTTTTCCTTTTGATCTGGTTCGTCTTCCACAAGCGTGACTAATATGGAAATATGTTTTCCATGATAGCTCATGCACAAACTATATCAAACTGCCTACCATTTTCAAAAGAGGGGATTGGAGGGAGAAAAATTTGGAACTCAAAATCTTGTAAAAATGAATGCTAAAAATTTTCTTGATATGTAATTGGGGAAAAAATAAAATACTATTAAAAATAAAAACAAATTATTGATATAAATCCTGAAATTTATCTAGCGCAGAGATCTCAGCTTCCTTATTAGCCAGAAATGAGTTATGTCCTTAATGCTTTATAAGGTATTATCAAAAGGAATTTATCATGAGAATAAGTATGTTAATTTAGTATAAGCAATTTCATTTTATTTTTAGGCCTTAATTTTGTGCTTAAACAGTTATGTGATTTTTCTGCAATAAGTACTTATGCATAGTTTGTAAATGAAATATGTCCCCCAAATTGGGTAGACCACTACTGTGTCTCCCAAATCTGGTAACTTTTTTTAAAAGAATATTTTAATTTTATTTTTTCTCAACTACATGCAAAAATAATTTTAACATTTTTAAAATAATTTTTGAAGTCCAAATTCTTTCTCTCCATCTTTCCCTCTCCCCTCCTTAAGAAGACAAGCACTTTGATATAGAATATTCATGTGCTGTCATGCAAAACATATTTCCATATTAGGCATGTTGCAAAAGAGAACAAGAAAGAAAGAAGCGAAGGAAGGAAGGAAGGAAGGAAGGAAGGAAGAAGGAAGGAAGGAAGGAAGGAAGGAAGGAAGGAAGGAAGGAAGGAAGGAAGGAAGGAAAAGAAAATAAGTTTAAAAACTGTGCTTTGATCTACATTCAGACTCCATCAATTCTTTCTCTGGAGGTAAAGAGCATTTTTTCATCATAAGTCCTTTGGAATTGTCTTGGATCACTGTATTGCTGAGAATAATGTCATTCACAGATGATCATTGTATAATATTGCTGTTATTGTGCATAATGATCTCTTGGTTCTGCTCTGCTCACTTCACTTTGCATCAGTTCATACAAGTCTTCTCAGGTTTTCCTGAAACCATCCTGCTCATCTTTTCTTATAGCATAATAGTGTTCCATTACAAGCATATACCACAACTTGTTTAGCCATTCCCCCACTGATTGACATCCCCTCAATTTCCAATTCTTTGCCACCACAGAAAGAGCTGCTACAAATATTTTTGTATATTTTTGTCCTTTTCCTTTTTCTTTGATTTCTTTGGGATATTTAGACCAAGTAGTGGTATTGCTGGGTCAAAAAGTATGCACAGTTTGCTGGCCCTTTGGGCATAGATCTAAATTGATATACAGAATGGTTGAATCAGTTCACGACTCCACCACAATGCATTAGCATCCCAATTTTTTCATATCCCCTCCAACATTTGTTACTTTTCTTTTTTGTAGTATTAACCAGTTTGATAGGTGTGAGGTGGTATCTCATAATTTAATTTTCATTTCTCTAATCAATAGTGATTTAGAGCATTTTTCATATGATTATAGATAGCTGTGATTTCTTCTGAAAATTCTCTGATTGTATCCTTTCACCATTTATCAATTGGGGAATGACTCATATTCTTATAATTTTGACTCACCTCTACATATTTGAGAATATATATTTATCAGAGAAATTTGTAAAAAAAAATTCTCCAGTTTCCTGTTTTCTTTCTAATCTTGGCTGTATTAGTTTTGTTTGTGCAAAACCTTTTTAATTTGATGTAATCAAAATTATCCATTTGATATCTCATAATGCTTTCTTTCTCATTTGGTTATAAATTCTTCCCTTATCCATAGATCTGACAAATGAAGTATTCCATGCTCCAATAATTTGCTTGTGATGTTACCTTTTATGTGTCAATCATGTGGCCATTTTGACCTTATCTAGGTATATGGTGTGAGATATTGGTCTATACCTAATTTCTGTCAAACTGCTTTCCAATTTTCCTGGCAGTTTTTGCCAAATAGAGAGCTCTTGCCTCACCACTCTCCTGTTAGAATGTAAGCTCCTTGATGGTAGAGACTGTTTGTGTAAGGCATGCGTTGTTTTATTATGCTTTGCAGATACTGCTTTTTTTTTTTTTAAGAAACTGAAGGTTTGTGGCAATTCTGCATTGAACAAGTTTATCAGTGCCATTTTCCCAATAGTTATATGCTCACATTGTGTCTCTGTGTCACGTTTTGTGTAATTCTCACAAAATTTTAAACGGAACCATTACTATTATATTTGTTATAGTGATCTGTGATCAGTAATCTTTGATGTTACTATTGTAATTGTTTTGGGCTGCCACAAACCAAGCCCATATAAGATGATGAACTTAATAAATGTTGTTTTGACTGCTCCACCAACTGGCAGTTCTCTGGTCTCTCTCCTCTCCTCAGGCCTCCCTATTCCCTGTGACACAACAATATTGAAATTAGGCCAATTAATAACCTTACAATGGCCTCCAAGTGTTCAAGTGAAAGAAGAGTCAATAGATGCTGTAAACTTGTTTTCTCATTTTAAGAAACTGCCACAGCTACCTCAACCTTCAGCAACCACCACCCTGATAAGTCAGCAGCCATCAACATCCAGGCGAGACCCTCCACTAACAAAAAGATTATCATTCATTGAAGGCTCATTTTTTTAAGCAATATTTTAAAATTAAGCTTTGTATACTTTTTTAGATATAATACTATTGCACACTTTAACAGACTACAATATAGTGTAAACATAACTTTTATATGCACTGGGAAATCAAAAATTTCATGTGGCTCACTTTAATGCAATATTATTTACTTTATTGAAGAGGTCTGGAACGAAACCCACAATATCTCCAAAGTATGCTTATATTTTGTATCCAACAATTAGTGCTTGGAATATAGTTAAGCATCTAACAAATGCTTTTCCAATAACACTCCTTGGTGTTTGGATACTCAGTCTCCAGGGTGATTAGAGATATAACTTTTTTTTCTTGTTTGCTAGCTTTTAAAAAGAGGTGTTCCAAAGATCAGTTTCATAAGATGAAGTATAGTTAGTTGTTTGGTTAAAAGATTTGGGTGGAGGGGTAGGGGGTTAGATTAAAGTTCAGTGAGTCATTACTGTGTGATGTGGCAACATCAGTATAATGTGGCAACCAAAAAAGCTAAGGTGATATTGGGCTATAATTTCCACTGCTCAGGTAACACTGGGAGTTGTGCTCAGTTTCAGGTGCCACAGCTTAGGAAGTATATTGATAATATGGAAAGTATCCAGAAAAGATCAGCTAAGATAATGGAGGACCTTAGGTCCATATCCTGTGAGGATCAGTGAAGGAACTAGACACGTTTAGCTTGGAGAAGACTGGGGGTGGGGGAGTGGGGACTGAAAGGACATGATACCTGTGTTCAGGTGTTTAAAGGGCTAACATTCTGGAAGGTTAAATTTGTTCTGTTTGGCCTAAGAGACCAGAACCTGAAGCGAATTGCAAAAAGGTTGGTGTAGGCTTGATGTCAGGAAAAACTTCGTAACAAATGGAGCTATCCATATGGAAGGCATTGCCTTGGGAGGTGATAGGTACCTCTTCCTTGCAGGTTTTCAAGCAGAGTTGGATGATCATTTGTCAGGTATGATTGGGGTTTCTTTTCAGATATAGGTTGGATTAGATGGCCACTGTGAGCCCTTCCAAATCTAGAGTTCTCATTCTAAGGAAGTTGTTCTTTGCAGTTTGGGAGACCAATTAGCTGCAATTAGGGTTTAGAACCTAGAATATCAGAGCTGGAGAGGATTTCAACAGAATATTTAGTCCTCATTTTGCAAATGAAGAACCTGAGGTTGTTGTAGGGCACAAAACTCTGGATTTGGAGGTGCTAGGTTAAGATTTCAGGGTATACTGGGGGCTTTGTGCTGCCACAGTCCAGCTGCGATTATGTTGCCATTTCCTTCTCCAATTCATTTTACAAATGAGGAAACTGAGGCAAACAGGGTTAAGTGACTTGGCCAGGATCACAGAGCTAGTATTTGAGGCCAGATTTCAACTCTGGAAGGTGAGTCCTGACTCCAGTCCCAGCACTCTATGCACTGTGCCACCTAGCTACACAGAAGCTGTGATTCTCCAGTTCCCTTAATCCCTGAGCCTGTTTCCCCACCTGAAAATTCAGTAGGTGGGACTAGAGGATCTCTTAATGACCCTTCTAGCATTTAACAGTATGACAGAAAAAATAGCTTGTCTATTAATTACATCTTCTGGTAGTATTTGAAGAAAACCAAGAAATAAAAACTCAAAGATTAAGAATGTAGTGACTATGAGTCACTTAAACCGAGAAACAACCATGACATTTTTGAAGAAAAATTTTGTGCTTGGTTTAGAGCCAATATTCTTCTTAGCAAGCTCTTCCAGGTCTAAAGGGCCCATAAACATAGAGCTGGAAGAGATCTAGTTCAACATCATTTTGTAGATAAGGAAATGGAGATCCAGAGAAGTTTTGATTTGCCCAATGAATCTGGATCTTTGGGCTCCAAACCCAGTGCACTTTCTGTATTACAGCCCTTAGAATAGGTTATATGTTCCACCTATAGAATTTGTATATATTTTATTATAGATTAGTGTAAAAGTTCTGGTCAGTTAGTAAGTAAAGTAAAACTTTGTTACTTGTAGTACACCTTGTGGAATTACCAGTGTTTTTCTTCATTTATTTAGTGGCAAGAAATCTACTTTGATGTGTATAATGGTGTGTGTGGTGGTTAAACATATGATTTAGTCCTTATTTTAAAATTCCAAGGTTTTTTTTCCACATTATTTATCCCATCTAAGTTAAAGGAAAAGTAATGGAGCAATTTCTCATTAAAACACAATTTTATTCTATTCCTAAAATTGGAATCACTAATTTTAGAGCTGGAAGTAAAAAAAAAAAGTGGAGGGAAGCTATAACACCACCCAATGTTTAAATAATACTCAGATACTAGCCACTGAAACTGCCATTTTTATTAAGCTCAGCAACTATTTTAAAAACGAAGATTTTAATGGAATGATAAGTACATTTAAAACACAGGAAATTGAACAAGTACATTCCAATGCTTACATTATACATTTACATTCATGTGAAATGCATGAAGTCATATGCTTGTGTATCCCTTGTATTTGGTACCTTTATATAACCAGCACTTATGCTCATTTTCTAAATGCCATTTTATATATGATCATTTGAAAATTAGTACAGTTTCCCCTGTGAGACAGAATAAATTCTGTTCATACTGAGTACTCAATAAAAATTACTTGTCCTTAAATGTTTATTTTAAGCTAATGTTCTACCAAGAGAAGTTATCTAATTTGCAATACGTGGGTTTCTTGGTATCAGGCTGTCTTGTTTGGTTTATAGTCTTAAGTGGCTCATAATAAATGAGGCAGTAAAAAGAATGAGAGGATGATAATCCTGAAGACTTAATTCTTCATGCCATAGATGAAATCACAACACACAATGATCTCAGATAATTATGCTAAATATCTGATAATTTTAAAAGCACCCATTTAAAATGCTTAAGTTTGTCATTTTATAATGAGATGACTTTAAAAAAAATCACAGAAATAATGAGGTGGTACAAACATTACTAAACCTAAGACTTCTGTTAGGTTTTTAAGTCCAAACAGTTAACATCCAATTATTCTAACAAACTCACTCAATTTGGGGATGGAATTCCTTAAGCTGAAAAGGATCATCGTTATCATTTTAAAGTAGGTACATATTATTTAAAATTTCTCCTACTGGAAAATCTGTAAAGTTATCCTTGAAAATATTAAGCCCAAAGAGATGCTTTCTTATCAATACATGAAACAAGCAATTTTCTGATGAACAAAAGCACTCCTTATGAGAAAATATATGGATAAGAAGTTTTTCCACAAAGTAATTTTTACATTTTTTTGTACAAGGGCATATTAATTCCAACTATGCAAATTTAATCCTCAAATAATATTGAATTTAACTTAAACATATACATAACACATTAAAAAAAATTGGACAAAAAAAATTTCCCCGTTCAATAATACTCCGGATGTCTAAATATTGCCACATAAGTGATCACTTTAACAACAACCTCCATAATGTAAAAGATATTAACTTAAATGGTCAATGAGATCTTTCTGGAAATTCACTTATATAAACAATGGTCTCAGGCTGCTGTTTCAACCTAAGAAATATTTTCAACACTAATTTGCAATCCTCTGAAAATAGAAGACTGCATAATGGCAATAATATCATACTGTAGAGTGACATTATCAGAGCCACTATGGTATATACTAGTGGGGTTTTCCCCACCACCTTTCTTCTTCCATCACAGGTATACAGTAAACATCAGACACTCAAAAAAATTGTGTAGCTTTTTTAATATACAAAATTACAACTGACTAAACATTCAGGACATCTGTCTTAAATAGTTAAAGACAGTAACAAAAGACCCTTTTACCTGAATATATGTAAAGCATACAAGCAGCTCTGAAAACATTTAAATGGATACATGGTGTACAACAAATGAATGGCTTTGAGAAGTAAAGGTTTATTGTGTTCTGTTCCCCCCCCAATAATTTTTTTTGGGGGGGTGGAAAGCTGGTTCCAGTTTTTTCATTTCTTCTCCTCAGATGTTTCTTTTTGTTCAATTGCATCTTCTGTTTTGTTATCTGGAGTCTTTTTAGATGCACTGCTGTCTACACAAGCAAAAAAAAAATAACTGCATAGGTTTTACAAGATTCAGATAATTCCAAACAGCATTTTCTAGCAAAAAAAAAAAGATGAGCAAAACAATATTTTAACGAAAGTAGAGATCTATTGGAACTTTGAAAATATTTAAGCAATGCTATTTACATTCTACTACTTTATGGTCAGCATTATAGTGCTCAAAACTAAGATATCAGGGTCCATAGCAATATTATTACATTAATAAAATAACATGATAGCTGGGAGAACTGCAACTAATTTAGTTCAATAAGCATTAATTGGGGCAGCTAGGTGGCTCAGTGGATAGAATACTGGCCCTTAAGTCAGAAGGACCTAAGTTCAAATCCGGCCTCAGACCAAACACTTGACACTTACTAGCTGTGTGACCTTGGGCAAGTCACTTAACCCCAACTGCCTAAAAAAATTAAAAACAATCAATAAGCATTAATTAACAGCCTTCTATGTGCTACATACAAGAAACAAAGATTAAAAACAGTCCCTGCAATTCAAGGAGCTTCTATTTTTGAAAGTGGGGGAAGAGAACAATTTGCACAGATAAAAACAAAATGTATATACAAAGTAATTTCAATTTGGGTTGAGTGTATCAATAACGACTGAGGATAGGAAATGGGAATCAGTAAAGGGCTTTTGTAGAGGTGGCAAAACTTCAACTACCTTTAAGGTCAACATGATTTTTTGAATTCTTGATTATGGAAATCTGGGATCAATTAGTCCTACAGATAGAGGCATAAGAGCATCAGGGTATAAAGGCAAAAGCAGCTGGCCAAAGTATTTTTTTGTCTCTAGGCCTCAGTTTCCTCATTTATAAAAAAATGAGGGTGTCATCATACTTGGTAATAGAACATTTCTCACATGAATAAGGTAGGACCATGTATTGGGAAAAGTTCAGGGATACAGAAGAAAACTAGGAGTTTATTGTAGATAATGTCCACATGGTTAGGCTCACAGGACAAGCTCATTTTTTATTTCTGGTGTACTTTTTTAAGTGCAGCTGGGTCTCCTATCATGGAGAAGGCTAGGAACCACGCTATCCATGGATATCTTTTCTTGAATGTTGAACCAAGTACCTGACTCAGCTATAGCCTAGGTAAAAGAACTTCAGAGTTAAGCCTGTATTGCCCCAATAATTTAGTAGCCATTTCTTTTGCTATAATGCTTTCATTGGGAAGGCGTTCTCCCACTTCAATGGGACAGAGTAAAGATAATCCATCTGCTGCTTTAAAGTCTACTATCAGTTTGTCCTGATTCTCAGATTGTATCTGCTTCTTTTAGACAAAAATACTGAACAGATCCCTTACGATCATCCAAGTCCAACTGTATACCATTTTCCTAGGTCAGCATTTCTTAAGCCATGCTCAACAGAACTCTGATGTTCTGTGACTAAGGCCTCCATGAGAAAATTTTGATCTAGCAGCATATTCCCCTCTGAAATATTTAACAAAAAGTAGTGTAGCACAGTGGATAGTAGGCTAGCCTTGAATGCAAGAAGCCCTAGATTTAAGTCATGTCTATGACAAGTAGTTGTCTATGTCACTCAACACTTCAATGTCCCTGGCAACTTTCAAACTATAAATTATAGAAGAATTGCATGCATATCTATCTATCAATAGAGTGTCCATACTGGGAGTTCCCAACTAGACTCCCTGTCTCATACCATAAAACAAATTAAATTATATACTTTAATAATTCAAATGGCTATAATTTCAGTGTTGGAACCTGCCAGCTTTTATAGCTTAGGGGCTGATCTTAGTCACTTAGAATTTATTAAATGACTACCATGTGCCAGACACTAAGCAAAGCCCTGTAAGATACAAAGAAAGGCAAAAAATAGTCTTTGCTTCCAAAGAGCTCACAGTCTACGTAGCTAATGAGCAATTCTTTGAGATGCTATGAGTTTAAAAAAAAAATCACCTAACAACCAATCAGGTGATGAACTCCCCCCTCCCCTTTTTTTTTTTTGGTGAGGCAATTGGGATTAAGTGACTTGCCCAGAGTCACACAGCTAGTGAGTGTTATGTGTCTGAGGCCAGATTTGAACTCAGGTTCTTCTGACTCCAGGGCTGGTGCTCTATCCACTGTGCCATGTGCCACCTAGCTGCCCCAAACTCCCTTCTCCAAACTTAGCTATATCAATGCTTGCATAGATAGGATACTTCCATCATCAAGCTAATACTTGAGGCTTTAATTGTTTAGTAGATCTTGCCAGAGCTTATGTTCTACTATCATCTTCAAGAATCCAGAATTTTGAATTTAGTGGAGGAAATAATTATGAATTTATCGTTAAGTCCTACTCTGATTTCCCATTGTGGATGGTGGTGACCCTGGGTTCTCAGAGATGATGCCTGCAGAACACAAACTGTGGCAGTTTCTACCATGCTGGAAAGGTTTCAGATATAGAATATCTGGCAAGTGTACATCTATTTATCAAGGGCCAGGCGAGATAAGTAGAGAGGAGCTCATCATGAGTAGACATGTTACTTTATGAATTCTTTGATGATGACAAGCCAAGAAAAATACAAAATGTCCCTTATCATTGGGTGATCTTCTACTTCTGCAGGAAAGGTATCAGAAATGATAGAAAATGTGACAGAGGGGGCTGACAGTCTCATAGATTTTAAATTGTCTATAAATATTAATTTAGTTTAGCTACTAATACTCTAAACATGAGATCCTTTTAAAATAACCAAACAAGTAGATGTAATGGAGGGACTGACTTGTATTGAAATTGATATTCTTGCTATAAATGAAATGATAAGATGAAAGAAGTTGGAACTACACTGAAGAATGGCTCGAAGTTTCTCTTTGAAGACGCAAATAAAGGAGTTGATGAAATTGGTTTTATAGTGCAGCCAAGGGCAACAAGAAACATAATTTCACAGGGCATCTGGTGATAGCTATAGCAGTGCTAATAACTACTTACAAAAAATGTTGCCATGACAATAACTGTAGCTAATATACCAACAGCTACTGTAGAGTATGAGATTAAGAAATTCTATCAAGAACTAAATCATAGCCTCCAAATTAAATCAAGATGTACTTGGTGACTTTAAGGACTTCATTGAAAAAATGAGCATAGGGGAAGACAGTGAACCCTTTGGTTTAGGAATAAGGTATGTGAAAGAATAATCCCTTGTCTACATATGGATATTTTCTTGGAGAAAGAGTTATGGCAAAGAAAGAAATTGATTCTATTTTAATGGACAGAAAATAGCTCGTTATTGATGTGAGAGTTCTTCCTAGATAAGCTAAGTGCAGAGAGATTTTTACTATCAAGTCTTATTAGAGCAAAAACCAAAATTCATATAAAGAGAATAAAAGGGACTGTGTGTTCAACTAAAACAACTCCAACCAAACTTCAAAAAAAATCATATTAATGCCAAAAAGAAATAGATGGAAGGAAGTACACTGTAATAGATTAACCATTTCCTAGAGAATTTTAAGCAAATCAATTAATTTCCATAAGGACCCCAACAAAGTCTAGAAACAACCTTAGGCAGCAACGCTTGATGTCATTATTAAGGAAAGAAATATGGTAGCAAAGAGCAATAGCAGTTTAAAATAGTAAAAATGTTTCTAAAATCTTATAGATAAGAATGGTGGAAAATCATGAGCAGTAGTGCTTCACAAAATGGGAAGGAGAAGAAAAAACAAATTTAAAGAAAGTTTGGTGAGAACTGAAAAATGGAAAAGACCTGTCAAGATTTATATGACAAACTCTTCATCATTACACACAGAGGGGAGCACCACATTTGGATTTTAACATTATAGTACTAAATATGTTGTATGAGTAATTGGAAACCCAAGTGAAGAAAACAAAGATTGGAAGAGTTTGATAACATCAAGTCTATACAGGGAAAAGACATCCTACAGGTGGTAATTTTGAGTATTGAGGAAGATGTTATCCCATTGAAGGGATAACAAAAAAACATAGAAAAAATATTGGATCTTTTTGTCACCCATTTCCTCACTCCCCAAATGGTGCCTGGTAGAATGCTAAAAACCACCAACCTACATGTCTCATTTCCTATCACTATAAAGTTTTGTAAGCATAATCTATATACACAACAAAGAGATCCTTGATGAAGTATGACAAGGGAATAGGTAGGCTTCTACAAATGATCTTCTACAGTAGACATCATCTCTACAAAGGCAACAAGATCCCATAATTTAATGAAAGGTGCAATATCTATATGAACCCACTGTGATTGTTTAACTATGAAAAGGTATTTGATTTGGGCAGAACAAGCTGTCACTTTATAGGCACTCTTCCAACAAGACTTTTCTTATGCATATGTTAAAATCATACAAGAGTCTTTAACAGATGTAATAAGAGAGAGAATTTTGATAATTTGCTGATTGATATCAAGTGATGCATAAAAAAAGAGACATATGCTGAAGGTGTTTGCCATGATTGTAGAGGCTATTCAACGGAAAGTCCAAACCCCTACATACAGATAGCAAAGTTCTGAGATATTCCTGTATTCAGATGACATTGTGTTCATTATTTCAAGTCCCAAGATATCATTTTTGTTGTTGTTGTTCAGTTGTTTTCAGTCTCAACAACTGCAAGTTTGTGTTAAGAAATAATGGGAAATAAAGATGGCTAGATAAAATGTAGTCCACTGACATAAGCTGGGTTTCAGGTGGTCAAATCAGTTCAACAAACAGTTATTACAGGCAATGAAAATCAGATTCTTGAATGACACAGAATAGAATTTTACATCTAGAAGGGATCTTAAAGGTTACATAGATTAATCTCTCATTTTACAGGTGAGGAGGTGAAGAGATATGAAACTGGTTGCCTAAGGTCTCCCAGCTAGGTAGACTTTTCAATTCAATTTATGGATAAATACTGGGTCAATCTAATAAGGTAAAATGTAGTAGCTCAACTATGCAAGTACAAAATGGAGGAGGCATGGGAAGTTCATCTGAAAAAGATTTGGGGATTTTAGTGGGCTCTGAGCTCAGTGAGTCAGCAGTGTGATAGACAGGGCAGCTAAGAAAGGTACTGGGACCTAAGACTGTCTTAAAAGAGGCATAGTATTCAGCTCTAATTAAGTGATAATATTATTGCGCTATGACCTGATTAAATCATACTTGTACTAATGCTCATTTCTGGGGTGTTAGGAAAGGCATTGATTGATAAGCAAGATAAAAAAGAGCACAAAGGACCGGAGATCATATGACATGAAGATTAATTAGTTCAAAGAACTGAGCAGGTTTAGATTTCAGAAGAAACAACTTGTGGAGGGAACATTACAGCTGCTAAACATCAGAAACGCTGTCAAAAAGAAATGGAATTACACTTGTTCTGTTTGGTCCCAGAGAGCAGAACTGCAAATTAAGAAGTCCCTAAGAGAAATGGGTTTCTTTGGAAGGTAGTAGGTAGGTTTCCTTTCACAGGTGGTAGTTAAGGCTGAATGATAACTTATCGTTATATATAAGACATATCAGATCAATATATATCAGATATATTATAGGAAGAATTCTTTTTCAGGAATGAGTTGGACTGCAAGGCCTAATAAGAGCTCTCCAAACTCTGAGATTCTGTGATCACTAGACAGGGAAGGGAAAAGTAAAAAATAAACACCTAAGACTATGAAATCTTGGCAAATGGAACATAAGCAACATTATTAAGTTTTCAGAAGGCTCTATGACATTCTGTGGGAAAAAAACAAATAAAAAAAAATTCTTGCCCTTGAAGGGTTTATAATCTACTGAGGAAAACAGAATCTATCCTTTTGAAAAATACAAAAAAACAAATTTTATACAAGAAGTGGAATTTGATTCAGGCTTTGGAGGACAAGTAGAATTTTATAAGTGCAGACAGGTGTAGGTATTACAAAAGAAATGAATAGGATGGTATGATGTTTGAGGAAATGTGAGATAGATTTGAATGGAGTGTAGACAGCTCATCTGGGAGAGTAAGAAAATTGAGTAAGTTGGAGTCAAATTGTAGAAACCTTATTAGATAGAAAATGGCCAGCCCCACAAGGTTTCCCTTGGGAGAATAACATGATCTGAGAGGTGTTTTAGGAAGTTTAATCTGGTTATAGTACAAAAGTTAAATAAGAGATGGGAGTTATTATGAAAGTCTAGGCAGAAGTTAATAAAGTACTATGGATGAATGGTAGTGATAGGAAGAAAAAGTGAGGGGCTAGTTCAAGAGAGAGAGGTTTTAGTGATTGCTAATAGATAGGGATGGGAAGTTGAAGGGAATGTCAAAGAGGTCAAAGATGGTTTTCAGGTTTTAAGCCAAGGAGAAAGTAAGCAGTCAGAAGGGCTTGGTTTGAAGTGTGGAAGGTGATCTTTGATTTTAGAGATTGTTGAATTTTAGATGATAGTAAGATATCTAAGTGTCAAGGAGATAGAAATAACAGACTGTATCTCAAGAGGGGGGTTGGGATTAGAGACAGAATAAAGATATGACAGAGAGCTCATCTATATTTCCACAGCTTTAGTTAGAGAAAATTTATAGAAGAATGGAAGGCCAAGAATTAAATGAAAGACGAAAGATAGAAGAACTGTCAAAAGACAAGAGCACAGCAGTAGAAAAAAAAACATGGTCCAGCTTCACAGAAATAAAAGGATAAAGTTCCAAGAAGAATGGCCAACAATGCTGAATGGAAAGAAGTCAAGGAAAACGAGTACTAATAAAAGGCCACTGACTTCACTGATATCCTATCAGATAATGATGGCAATGTCTCTAACTTTGGAAAGCATAATAGTATAAGCAATGTGGAATTTAAATACTTCCAAATAATAATTAAGATGGGGTCCCAGGCTAGTTTATAAGATAGTTTCAAAGGACAGGAAAAGTTTTGTTTTGTAAAAGAAAAAAAATGTTTTTTTCAAGGCATGAATTTCCATGGGAAGGGCAGAAGGAAAAACGTCAAGGTAAATAGTCGCTAATAGGTGACTATCACAAATAGACAATGAAGATGATTTTTTTAGTACAGGTTCGCTACCATAAATTGACAAGTTAATGAGAATCATGACACAAATAAGCTCTGCATTTTATAACACTGGTTTAAAAACAGAATGTGCATAAAATTCAAGATATTTTACATTTGTCATTTATTTCACAAAAAAAAAAAAGACACACACACACACACACACCTTCTTTGCTTCCTTTAGGAGTCTTTATAGTGCAAGATGGTGTTGGGAGAATCTTTGCAGGTGTGTAGGTATTTAAAGATATTTTTCTTCTCAGAGGTGGACTTGAATCACAAAGCTGAGAACCTGAAAGTAAACAATATATTTAAAAAATTACCTTTAAAAAATTTTACCTTTGCATTTTGGGAAATTTCACTTGCCAAACAAATGTGTCATAATAGAAACTTTAAATTAAAAATAATTTCTCTTTCTTTTAATCAATTAAATGTGCTTATGCTACAAATAATAAGCATTTCAATTCATAGTCTATGGAAAAACAAAAATTGCTGTACAAAAATATACTCTTCCCTTGACCACATTTCTTCACCTTCCCTATCCCTGGTTATCTCTTGAGTTGTTCATGCAACATCCCATTTATATCACACAAATGTGGCTCACTTGTACATTCTGTGCAAAATGTTATCAGTTAACTCTATTTAGATGGGAAAAAAGGTTATTGGATCATTAAAGATAATTGACTCACTTTCTATTTTATTCCTAAAGTAAAATCCACACTGTTCTATTTTAGCCTCATTGTTAATATTCTGAGATTCTATTTTAACACAATTTTCTTGATTAATGCTTAAGGAAACAACTAAATTTGAACTAAGCAGGCAATTTAATTTAGCTTAACCAACTAGCTCTTCCATAAACAGTATGTATATGTGTGTGTATATGAAATAAATTGTAGTATACTTCTACATGAACAGAAATACAAAAATGATATTTCAATCATAACACATTTTATTCCTTTCACTTTAAAGAGAGATGTACTCACAAGTTAGATTTATGAAGTAAACTTGGCTGACTCAAGTTGCTATCTTTCCATGTTTTTCTTCCTCTATGATGATTATTTCATAGGATTAAAGATTTAGAATTGGAGGGGACCTTAGAGGTTATTTAGTCCAACTCCTTTCATGAAAGAATTATTTTGGAAACAAAGAGGTTAAGTGTCTTGTCCAAGGCCACAGAGGTGGTAAAGGGCAGAGCCAGGATTTGAATCAGGTACTTTGACTCCACTATACCATGGAAAAATATTAATGCTGAATGATTTTAGTAAGAAAATTAAATGTGAACTTTACCTTATTTCAACATAAATACTCATTTTATCTATCTAAGCACCTTATAAAATAGCAAAGATCATAGTTTTTCCTATCCAAAAGAGTATAGCTAACAGGCTTAGTTAACTTTTTACTAGAAACTGCTACCTTTCAAGTAACATTGCACAATAGTCACTGAGTAACCTAAATAATAATACATTATACGCTATAGTTCTATTATCAATATGATACAGACATTGAATTTTTTTCTACAGTGGTAATAAGGGAGATCACGTGGTGTAGTATTAATCTATGAGCTTGATGTTGGTTCTTGGAAAAATAAAACAGATTAATGAGATAGTCTATAAGCAGTTAGGGCAGCAATGATCACCATGATCCAACATTTATTTATAAAGAACCAATCATGTTAGACTAAGCTAATTTCCATTTTTTTTGGACAAGATTAACAGACTAGTACATAGGATAATGGCACAATCACAAACACCTGGATTACAGTATTTGACTATTTCATGCTATTCTTATGGATAAGATGGAAAGATGTGGACTGGAATACAATAGGCAGGAAGATTAGGAACTGTCTGAAAGACTGGACTGAAACAGCAGTCATTCATGGATGAATGTGAACCTGAAAGGAATTTCTAATGGAATGCCACATCCTAATTCAACATTTTTATCAATGATTTGGAGGATACTGATGGCATATTTATCAAATTTGTGGCCAACAAAAGCTAGCTGACAGAATCAGGATCCAAAATGATCTTACAAGGCTATAAACAAGCACAGGTTGGATCTTCATTTTAATAAGAAACTGTTTTAAGAATCAGAAGTCAGCAAGTAGAGGCAAGGTGCCTATTTGTTGAGGAACTTGTAGAGAGGTTTAACATTTTAGCTAACAGTTAGACTAGATCAGGGGTGGAGAACCTGCAGCCTCCAGGCCACATGTCCTCAAGTATGGCCCTCTGACTGAATCCACATTTCAAAGAACAAATCCCCTTAATAAAAGGATGTGTTCTATAAAACTTGGACTCAAGTCAAAAGGTTGCACCCAAGGACCTAGAAGACCATAGACACAGGTTCCCCACCCCTGGATTAGATGACCTCTGAGGTCCTTAGATTCTACTTTTTTCTATAAATTTCCAGATCAACAGAAACATTAATAATTCAATTTAAAGTACTAATGTTCTTTCCAAATCTACTATAAAAGATTTTGAGATCAGTCATTTACCTATACCGCTGCATTTTCTATTATGACTGAGAATTTCCCTCTAGTACTACTTTAGTGAAAGCGGGCCTGGGGGGGGAGAGGGGGGGGAAGAAGAAAGACAACGTGAACACTATATTTGCACATGAGAGTGGCTTTCTAAGACCAAGTGTTTTATCTCATTTCATACCGAGATGTGGGATTTTAACATCATCTTACAGATAGGAAATGGGTATGCAGAGCAGATGAAGTTAATTTTTTAAATTAAGGTCACATCCATTAAGATTGGAGCTATAAAAGACTTAGCTGTGACCCTAGCCTGATACCTCTTCCACTAAACTAGTGTTTTCATGCAGGAAGATCAAACAAAAACAGATCTCCATGGTGATGCTGCTAAGAATGGCCACTTTATACTCCTTATCTGGTTTATTTAGAAAAACATACAGCTTCATCGAATTTCTTTTCTTATATATCCCAAGCCTTGGGGCATGGTGGTTCCAGATACCTCAACTCACTTGTCCGATTTTCCTGAAATGTTATGTGTATATGCCACCTAAAAGAAAGGTATTCTGGAATTATTTTTTTAATTATGGGAAGGTAAATTCTTTAAGAGGGGCTGTAAAAATGAAAAGCCTTATTCTATATTGTGAAATTATTTTTTTACGGTTTAGTAGATCATTTTACTTTCAAGTTATCTTTATGGAATGTAACCCAATTTCAATTAATGGTCATAATAACAAATTTTCATACAAGGAGGAGTTGTCATTCTTCTTTCATTTGATGGAAGTGCAATGGAAGCAAGAAAGTCGTCCACCTGCTTTAAAGATAAGGCGTTGTGAAGAGTTTCAAGAGGGCAGATAGATGGTACCATGGAATATAATTCAAAGCCTGAAACAGAAAAACAAAAAATACCGATGGATGCAAGAGAAATCATGAATGAAAAGGAAAAAGACTTGCATAGAAACAAAAGAAATTTATCTTTTAAATGTAAACACATGCAAACATATGAGATCTCTGAAGTCATGACATCAGATGCTATGCAGTATGGAGTTAGAATAAAATGTGTTAAAGATTCTATTTTATATGTAATTTCATAGTATAGCATTCACAGGGATAATTTCATTGATAAATTTGTAAAATGTAGGGAAAAAATTAAACTAAAGGAGGGAAGGGAAGAGCTAATCAGAGACACAAATTTCATTTTATATCCCTATCCCAGCTCAAATGTACAGATGATACATTTAAATTGAGTCTATTTTGTGTTCCTGATAATGTGATAGCACCAACTTCTAACTTAGGGACAGTTATGAGTTAAAACTTAGGGAGAACAATTTAGCCAGGTATACTATAGTCAAAAATACCCTCTTAATTATAAGATTACACACCAATATTGTTAATATTCATTCACTTACAGCAGATTTAAATTCAAGGACACAACTTTCACCTACCTTATTGAATTAATGAAATAATTTCCATCACTATAAATCACCAGTTGTACCCAAACAACATAAAATACAATTACATTCTCATTTAGTAACATTTGCACAGAAATACAAACAGTTGGTCAAACCAACATGCAGATAACATATTATTAATGCTATCCATCAAAAAAATTTTTTTTAAAAACACCAACCATATTTCTTACTATATCATATTTCTAAAATTGCCTGTTTAAAGCTCACCCAACTGAATGGCTTTTAAAACTGCTTCCACATATTGTTATGCCACAATTCTTTCTCTTCATTGACTATATTTTATTAAAAAATTCCATTCTCTTCACAGACAAAAGTTTGCAATACTTAAAAATAATGCCAAAATAAACTATATAGTCTCTAATTAAAAAGCAATTGTCTGGTTAACACAAACATTATTTGCTACTAGATACATTATTCTAACAGTTGTGTTTTGCTTTAGTAAAATTTTTAACTAACCTAAGTCTGTTACATTTTGACCAAAGAAATATCTTATAAATATGTTGAATTTAATTTAAGTTCTATGGTTAAAACAAGACCTATTTCTACAACTCAAGTACTCTATTTATGTAGAACCAAAATGTACTTAAGTACATAAGCAGAAAACAGTTCTCAGCAGCTTGATCTTCATGTGCAAAACAGGATAGCACATCAAAACATCACATACCATTTTTTTCACAACATTAAGTAAAAACTACCACTTTAAGCACTTAAGTATATTGATTTGGCACAAATATTACTATTTTAAAAACACAAAGATTCATGCAAGCAAGCGCAAACCCTTTCTTTGCATTAAAAAAAGAAAGTTACCTAGACTCCTTCCCCAAATGTTAATCACAACTTCACAAACTTGTTTTTTTATTGCATTTACCTATCATATTTTGTAACAAGCAAATGCTAATATATTCAGGATGCTCTCTATCTAGTTTTCCTTTCTCCTTCCATAATGTTTTTTTAATGGACAATGAAAGGGTTAATGCAATTTTTAAAAGCCACCCTGCTGTCATGTTTAGAAGCTACAAGAACATACCCCTGGAGCCTAGTAATTCCACAGAGGAAATGGACCGCCACCTATAGAGGTGTGGGTATTCTGCATTGAGGCCCAGAAAATAAGGTAAAGCACTGTCAGAAGATACTTGTTGCATCATGTTCCTCGAACTAAATATGAAGGGAGGGATAAGTCCATGAAATGAGTTAAAGGAGGAAACATGAAAGTTAAAGGAAATAAAAGTGAAAGAAGAGTCAAATAAAATACACAGGACAGATACATGACAGAAAAAAGCTTGAAAGAACAGGAAATCTTGAACACCCAAAGGCTAACTTACAGGAGTTCAAAAGAATGCATATTAATGTGCACTAGATCTTGAAAGGTGGGAAATTCATTTGGTTCAAGAATTTTTTAAAAATCTAATGTGGGATATTACAATTATCTTTGGCCTCCAATTGCTTCAAGAGTACTACACTAAGTCCAGTCTACACAGGCTTTCCTGCACACACATACTTCTCTATCCTTGCTCTAGAGCAAGGATTAAAAAATAAACAAAACTATCTTAACCTTGTGAAGTCTCAGAACTCTGCATCTTGTTTTTCTGTTAGATAGTTCTTTTAAAAAGCTCCTCTATAGGAATCTTCTTCAGGAGTTGAAGCTATGTCAAATAAGGCACTATTTCTCCAAAAACTTGCATTTAAACAGCTACAATGGAGGAAAAATGTGAAACTTTACAGCCAAACTTTCATATGTTGAGTTTAATTTCTTACTCCACAACCATAGGCCTTCAAGGAATGGCACTGCTTCGTTTACAAGGGAATTTGAGGACTATAAGAAGGAAAAAAAAATTAAACTTGTATTCAAATCTACCCATTTGACCTAGCTTTCTGTGAGCCTTGACTTCAAGCAGAAAAAAGAAAAATTCTCCTACATAAAAATACCTCTATTTTGAGGCATTTTTTGGCTCAGCCATAAAAATTGTGCATAAGAAGAATAAGGCTTTTCAGTCTCTTTTAAACTGTTTTATTTCTGTCAAAAGATCCCTGAGTTTTAAATGATAAAAAGAAAGAGGTTGCTATTCAAAAGCTGCCCAGCACATATCACATTAATCCCATCAAGGATGAAGGAATTCTGGGTGACAAGGGGATTCGATTGTGAAAGCCCTACCCCAAGGAAGCATAACACCACATGATGATGAAGTTTGAACTCCCTGGTTGCCTGAGCTTTACCACAGACAGAAAATGGTGAATTTTGTATACTTGTAATCTATGATTACGTATCTCAATAGAAATATCTATGTGACCAGAAAAAAGGAATCAGGGAAAAGGTATTTTAAAGGATATTAAAACTATTAAGAATTAAGAATAAGTATAATTAATTTTGATATTATAAAAAGGATATGGTTGGATCACTTGGTAACTGGAAAGACAAAAGGAACTTCCAGTGTAGATTCAGAATTAAACTGATCTTCAACATGGGCAATTAGAATTTTATTTTAAAATTTCATAAATGACATCTTTATGTAAATTAAAAGTGAGGAAGGGAGCTACACAGTGTTGTTATTTTAGATACATAACAAGTTAGAACTGTGTGCTGGTTTGAGTTAAAGGACAGATGAATGATACTGTATACCCCATATTTGGAAATAAAGTAAAAAATGGATGAAGCAAGGGAACATCTTTTAAAATAAAAAAAAAAACGTACCATTGGTTGGGTGTCGAGCAAATGAGATAGAAAACCTTTTAACAGCAGAACCACGTGTGGCGTCTGAGAAAGAGAAAAACAGGTACCTGAAATTCACAACAGCTACCAAAAGAGGGACATTTAAAAAAAGAGGGACAAAAGATGAGAAGGTTAGAATCCAGTGACATGCAGAAAGGATCATGAAAGAAGGCTGTAGGCCAAAATACTGGTTAAAAGAATTAAACTGGTTTGCTAAAAACTGCAAGGCATTTAATGAAGTGTATGAAAGAAGGAGAAGCAAGATGAGCAAGTGATTTTGGTATATACAAAACTGTACTGGCTAAAGTAAATTTATGTGGAGTGTATAAATAAGTCTGTAATGTAGCTACCTTGACCTGAGGATTAAGAACTACATACCCCTTTGAGCTTCCAACTCCTGACAGAACAAGCCTCTATACACTTCAAAGACCCTCTAAAAACTAAAATATATATATACATATATAAATATATAATAAATAAAATAAATATATAAAAGCAAGAAGTTTCTTAATGAGGAATACTAGAGTTTTCATCCTATGCTGTCAATATTTTAAAACATGAACAGCTTGACATTTCTTTCCATTTCTTACACAAATTGTTTTCACTGTAGTTTAGTTCAGTATCAGTAAGGATTTAAGGGGGAAAACAGACAGAAGTTTCAGTTATCACAGAAAAATTTCTCTTCGTTTAGCCATTCTCCTCTCACAAAAAGCAATGCTTAAGAATTTACATGTCAACAAACTCTCAGGATACAAATATTGTATATAAACTTGAAGTCAATAGCTACAATAAACTTTGCCAAACACATATCCAAGCTGTGCATAGTGAAGAGAGCCTGAACTCATACAATTAGGCAGAGAGGGTCACTGGCCTAAGGCTTGTCACTGAGGAATAATGTGTGCTCATGGGTGTGTGCGTGGGTGCACATTTGTAACTGTGCGTGCGTGCGTGTCTGCACATACCATCTATGCAGCCAGAAGAAGTCAGCTTTTTACGATGAGTACGAGCATAATCCTGTAGGTTAGGTGCACTTGAAGAACCCCCGAGCACTGAGGTGCTAAACAGGCTCGCACAGTGAGACCCTGATGGGAGTTAGAGAAAATACATACAGCAACCGGTGTTCTTCCATTTACATTGGGGTGCATGCAACATGCAATTAACATGGCTCAGGTTCACAATATGCTTGTAATGGCTTAGTGTAATAATTATTTTAATTTACTGCATCTAAATATCACTATAACACACATACAAGAGGAAATTTGATAAGGAGACTTAAAGCTACCTTTGCAGGCAAAAAAGGTCAAAGAATATTTAGTTTTATATAAAACCTAAAACATAGCAATTTAAAAAAAAACAAAGAAATTAATAGCCTAGGATTCTCTAGAAACTGATCCTTTTTTTTTGGCAAATCATTATCTTGAACAATCCTCAAAAACTTCTTTTGTGCTATGAGAAAGATTATGTTAGTAAAATTACAGTATGGCATATTATAAAGTGATATATTTTAGTCTATAAAAGACACTTTAGTGAATTAGAGAAACACAACTAAATGTCTTCTCTAAATCTCTGGATAAAATTCCACTTATTTTATTTTTGTTATACTATAAAATCAAAGCTAAACTACTACTTGTAGAGGTAAGTTACTTTTGTGTTTCTATTATATGTATGTTAAGAAAACTGACTAAATCATCTGGAATTTGTACTATCAAATAAATAACAAATCCTTTGTAAAAAAAGAAAAGTGTCACCTAATAAAACACATTACTAGCATATGTGATGAATCCCAGCCAGAATAAGTTGTGCCTGGTTTGTGGCAAGTCTTTATACCCAAGCAAATCCTTCACCAATGCATCTATCAGTTTCCACCAGCGCTATCATGTTACATCAATTAAGAAAAGGAAGATTATATAAATTTTTAGCAAGACACTGTGGGAAAATCAAAATCTGTCATCATTAAATGTATTCATTTGACTAGAGAAAGTAGAAACATAAAATTACCACAAATATGTAGGCATAATACAATAGTTCAGACCCTTTATACAGAGAACGCAGTACATGAATTTAATCCTATCTTAAATCTACATAGGTAAATGCTAATTACAGCAAACACCACATCACTTCATATAGTTTATCAACCATATGAATTTTAAAAAGTTAGGATTTATAATTTTATCACACAGAATAATGATTGTTCCACTGTTACTTAGAATGTATGTAAGAAAATGCTAGGGGATAATATTTTACAGATGAACAAAAAGGTTTGAACTTTGCAACCATCAAATTTTCTTGGAAGTTGCCAAAAACAAAACCAAACCAAACCAAACCCAACTACGTATCAAAAGTGAGTTTATTTCTAAAGAGGCTTTATATAAAGTTGAGGAAAAATTTTAGTTTCAGAACACAAAGTTTAAATCTAATTGAATGATATCTTTCAATGGCCTAAATAGTGTGCTACAGGTTGTAGCAATTCAATTTATATGGTTTAACAGCTAGGGATTATAAGAAAATGAATGTTTGTCCTAGTTCACTTAACTGAAATATGTTTTGTGAACTTATATTAGCAAAATATTGGGCAACTCATTATTCTTGAATGGGTATGTACAAAGTATAAAGTAAGCATAGCATTTGGTCATGCTTTCACAACTTAAAAATTTACATGTGTGCAAGACAGCATATATTATTAGGTTTGTTAAAGGAACAATATTCCCATCAACCAACATACCTACTGCACTCTGCTTTTGGTCCACATTCCTTTGTTTTCTCAGAAAATTAGTATTTTCTGAAACAACCTGGATAAGTAAAGCAAAAAAAATGAGGCAAAACAAAACTGAAAAATCAAATGTCCATTATACTTGATACAGCAGCCTGTTCCAGACAGACAAGGGTTAATAAGCATGATAAATATTAGTAGAAATACATAAAACACAAAAGATCATGCAAGATCCCCTTCTGAAGGGAGTCCATTTCACATGAGATCCTTGCAATGAGGTGGTGCGAAGCAGGCATTCAGAATGAGGACATGTATGAACCAAGACAGATGAAAAGAAATCATTTATAGATCAATATAATTCTTTTTTTTGGTTTGTTTAAAAAGAAACCAAATGCCCACTCTTAACAGCTCCTGTACTGGAAAGGGGTGGGAGGGAAACAACAACAAAAAAAAGGGGAAAGACAATCCTTTGAGGTCACCAAACAGTTACTGTTCCATGCACGGGCTTTATCAGAGTAACCTTTACATAAACACAGCCTTAATGGATACCATAATCCCTTTTTCTATAATTAGCTTCCTTTAAGTTCCAAATGGAAACTGCTGAAATTCTTAGAGAAGTCATAGATAATAGCACATCTTCCATTGTAAAAAACAAAAACAAAAGCCTCCACAATATTTTGAATATCAACAACAAAAACTTTTCTGGATTTACTTTGTTTAGCACCAAAATATTGTTAATGTATCCAATTTTTGTCTTATTTTGGGGGGAAAAGGTTCAAAATATTGTACAGTTCAACGGAAGTAGTACTATTTAGAAAAAAATTCCTCAATTTAAAACCTCCACATAAAGAAGTTTGTGAGGAAGAGAATGATTAGTGCTAGAGTTTGACTCCATAGTTAATTCTAGGTCACTGAGAATCTGATATATAGAAAACTTTTAAAACCCCAAATTCTAAATAACATCTAATTTTTTCAATTATGGAGAAAAATTAAATTTACCTACCACCAAATTAAGTATTTTTAAAAGTCTTAAAGGACAACTAAGCCAAAACAAGAGTTTGATTTATCAGTTGAGCTAAAATTCCAAAAATTCAGATTTTTAAAATAAAACAAATTTTGGAAATTTAAAATAGAGAAAATGCTGTGAAACAATTTGGTTGTTTTCCTTCCCTCAAAAGTTCTTAGAAATCACAAGCATTTAAAAATGTACAAATCAAATTCAAACAGAAGGATTTATTTCAATAGAAAACACAAGGGATTAGATGTCCTCAAAGACAGTTATTTGTTGCTCTGAATGCGTAAAAATGTTTAATGAAGTAAAGTTTAGAAACCTGTTGCCATGAGCCAAAAATACTGGATGTGAATGCCAGTGATTGAGGGGAGACAGGGGAAGAGGTGATTTGTTCCCCTGATCTGCGTCTTCGACGCCCAGTACCCACACCACTGGTGTAATGCAGCCAGGTACCAGTACCCTCTGGGCTAGACACACTCAGGGGGCTCTCTTCCTGGAAGTGAGAAAGGGGGCAAAAACAAAAAAAAACAAAAAAACAAAAAAACAGCAAAGCATGCACAGTTAGATACAATAGAGTCAAATGATCAGAAAGAAAAAAAAATACAGTTTGTACTCTTTCATTCACTTTTCTAAAACTATTAAACAGTAACTAGGGCATCAAAATATTTCAGTATTTAATTTGATAGCTCAACAGAAATATGACCATTAATTCATCCTCAGACTTCATATTTTCACAATTTTTTGATAAAAAACTATCAAATGCATATTCAGTTCTAATTGAGAAAAAAAAGTAGGAATTATTTATTGCATACACATTGTATGTACTGCTTAATAGTTTTCCCCTCCCTCTTCAAACAGGATAAACTTCCCCAGTTTCTATTCAATAGATTGTTTTTACATTTTAAATACTTCACTTATTTTTATTCAAGAGGCTTTGTGTTCTACAGGATGGATTTTTCAACCCAAAGCCCTAATGAACTGTGCTAAGGAATGAAGAGATTTCAAAGTATGAAAAGTATTACTGTCTGACAAACGTTAAAAAAAAAAAGAAAAGAAAAAAAGGTTTTTAACAGAATAAAATAGAACCAAACTTCACTTGCTTATACTTTCAAACTATTTATTTTTCTACCCCCTCCAAGACTATTTTGAAGAGTTCAATAGGTAAAACATGCAGCAAACATTCCCATTTTACATGTTTGCATGTTCAGGTTTCAGACAGTGAGGACAGAGTAAAATCTACTTGCACCAAATGAAGAGAATAGTCTGTTTCTCTGAGTGTCTTTAGGAAGTACAAACTTCTGATTTCCATGGAGGTGGTGGGCGCTGGAAAAAGTCTTCAATGTTTTACTTGAATAGTCTACCTTATGGAAGTAAAAGTTTAGCATGGCATAGAAATATCTCTTGAAAACAACTATTTAAGCATTTTATAGAACATAAGGTTTACAAATGGGCTGTCCAAATTTTGAAAAATTAACTAGGGCAGTGATTTTGTCAGATTTTTGCAAATATCACACATCAGACATAAAATGAATACTTATTAATGCATTTGCCATGGTAGTGTTCTGAACTATTTAGAGTGCAGAGGAGAAGGCTTTACAATGGTCTTAAAATAATCATGTTAAAGAATCTGATCAATGGAAGGCTACTCTGCTCAACAACATATCAAAATCACTGCCCTCACATAAAAAGTAACTTAGACAGGCTATATTACCATATGTCATTTCCCAAGTTTTCTGAAATAAAGTAGCCTTAGTCAATCTAAACTTCTTATTTCTTAAGTAAATGTAATAGCACAAATAAGAACCGTGGTCAAGGAAATAATATATGGTGTATCTTTTCTTAAAACTTCCACTACCAACTTAGAATCTATTGATAATAGAAGAGACTAGTATAGGTACATTTCAAATTCAAAGACTAATGGAAATACTATTTTGAGCATCATTTAAAAAGAAACTGAATATATTTCCTCCCCAGCTATTACTACTCACAATTTGTATACTGGTTATTCTAACTCCTGTAAATTTTTTTGGTAATTTAATAGTATTTAATGATTTCTTCATAGCCTTGAGCTTTTATCAAAGAATTACCGAAATTAAGCAGTAGCCTGCTTCAATTTGGGAGACACCAGCACTTATAGAATACAAATATTCCAAAACAAAGTAATTTTAATCTATAGGTGTATAAATCATATCATAGGTATTATTATGATGCTTAAGGTACTTAACTCTTTCAAGTCTTACCAAAGTACTTTTGCTACTGAGTATAAGGAGGTTACTAAGGTATCTATTAATCTTAAACATTAATTATTGCAATTTAATTGAAGTAGGAAAAGTTCATTAATGTTGGAAGTTTTGTATTCATTTGGCCAACTTATCAATTTGGTTTTCCTTACCTTAAACTGCTACCATTCAAATCAACTGCTGCTGAAGCAATTTTACTAATTCCTTCCCAAACCCAACCAAAAATCTCTCCCATCTCAAGTTCTTTTTTTTTTTTTGGCTAAAAAACCCCCCAAAACCCCAAAAAAACCTTATACCACAGTAGCCTCCAGTGACAATGAGAAGAGACAGAAAATCTGTAAGGATCTTAGCAAGGATTTATCCTGGTAGGTTTAGACACTTTCTGTCATAAAACTAAAAATGAAGTTCAGAGACCTAAATTTATAAATGCCTCCATATTTTTTATTGATTTCTTTAAAAATTGACAGTTTTCATCCAGAATTTCTATTAAGTTCCCAAGTCAATTAAACTGAAGCTGTATTTTCTTTTCTATTTTATTAAACTAAAGTTAAGTTTCTTTTAGAGAGAACATGCTGTAACATATATACTTACTTCACTTGCTTTCCTACTTCGTGGAAGGGGAGATTTTTTGTGTATGTGAATTGGATCTGATACCATAGGTTTGAAAATTACTACAGCTCTATCAGGCTCATCCTTTTTAAATCTGTATGTCTCATCATCACATTCACATTTTCTGGAGAATTTCTTTTTGTCTTCATTCTGCAGGTGGAGAGCATTATAAATTTTTCTTTAAGACAAAAGCTTTGCTTTAATTACCTAAACAATTATATTTCTAGTGGCAAAAATCACACAATATATATGTCCATATAAAAATAGATATATTCAATTCAACAAGTATTTCTGAAGACATGTTATGTGTCCAACACTGGAAAATATGAAGCAATACAGATGATTAGTTTTGAACTTAAAGGATCTTTTGAGGGGAGATGAAACTCAAACATATGGAACAATGAAGACATTATAAATGCCAACTTAATCAAATGCCAAAATGAACAATGGAAAAGAGAAATTGCCAAAAATGAAAATAAATGTAGAATAGGGAAGGGAGGCAATAAGCATTTATATAGCATCTTCATGTCAAGCATTTGATCCTTACAATAATTCTGAGAAACAGTTGTTAAATTATTCCCATTTTACAATTGAGGGAACTGAGGTAAACAGAAGTTAAGTTACTTGCTCAGAATCACTCAGCTAGGAAGTGTCTGAGGCTGCATTTGAACTGTGGTCTTCCAGGGTTCTATCCATTGGGCCACCAGCTGCCTCAAAAAACAGAACAAGATTTCAAGCTACCAATTTGTCTCCTCCCTATAAGGTTTTTTGGGAGAGTGAACTTCAGTAGTTTTGAAAGAGCACGGACAAAAATCTTCAAGTTGAGAGGGCCAAGATTTTCACAGCTAAAGGACCCCACAAAAACCAATGAGATCATGAATATAATGAAGTACTGAAGTTGGAAGACTGTAGCTAACACTCATTTTTCATGTCTGTGTATTAAGTTTTAGACAATAAACTGGTAGTAGAAATTTTAAGAAAATGTATACTAGATATTATTTCCTTGACCACAGTTATTTGTGCTGTTACATTTACTTAAGAAATGAGAAATTTAGAATGGCTAAGATTACTTCATTTCAGATAAGTACAAAAAACTTCTTATTTCCATATGCATTTCGCAGGTTGTTCAAAACATTTATTGGTTCTTGGTTTTGAAAACTGTGAACATTATTTCATTATTAAATTCTTAAGTAATTCTTTTCAAGAGTTATTTTTATGTCATGCTAAACATTTAATCCTATTAAGCATACAATAGAACCTTGAAATTTTCTGTCACCCACCACTTTCACGTAAACCAGCAAGGTCTTTCTCTATCTTCCCCATCCCCCAAAGCAGACCAGCTAATAAAAACTTCCTGACTTCTTTTGGTGATAATTTCATCCTTTAAAAGGTAGACAAAACAACAAAGGGAAATTTCATTTTGGATCTTATGCTTGATAACAGGGAGGAACTAGTTGCTGGGATTAAGTTATGGGAACCCTGAGGAAGTAACTATTATATCCTAGAGTTTTCGATAGAGGAGAGAAAATTTTGCCAAAGTTTCACATGTGCCATAGACGTCAAAGGGCTTAGAAGAATGACAAGTAGGATGCTATAGAATTAAATCCTTCAAAGGAAATCAGTTGAGGATGGATGGGAGACTCAAGAGGAAGAAAAATGGAATTTGTCTGGAAAGACCAGTATGGCTACACAGAACTCACTAATGAAATTAGATTTGTGAAAGAAACATAGAGAAGATGGAAGCAAGTAAAGGCAATACCGAATGAAAAGAAGGTATCCCAAAAATCTTACTGCCATTTTAAGCTATTAAAGTTTAAAATAGCACTAAGACTTTTGGGGGGACACTGTATAAAAGCGTGATATGTTTCTATAAAAATTGTTATAAATGTTAAAGCTCAGAATGAGCTGAAGCTAGTGAGAGATGGTAAGGACAACAGTAGGTTTTTTTCTAAAAAGTTATATTTGTATTCCATCACAATCTCATACCACAACATGTTCAGCCATTCCCCTAACTGATCAGAACCAAATGAACAGTATATACAGTAACAGCAACATTATTTTAAAAATGACTTTGAGCAACTAAGTCATTTTGACTATTATAAATACCCAATTACAAAAGACATGAAAGCAGATGCTATCTGCATCTAGAGTAAGAATAAACAGGAGCACGTATAGAATGATTTTACACACATACACGTATGTATATATGTATGTATGTACGTGTATATATATAATCTCTATATAGATATGTATATATGTGTACACACACACACACACACACATATTTGTAGCCATCTCTAGGGTGGGGGGGGTAGAGAAGAAATAAATGGAAAAAATTATTTATTATGAATTTAAAAATAATAGCCAGTGTTTTTCTGGATTTGAGTGAAATATCATATATTCACTATCTATGCAGAATTCTAGAATGCACTTATTTCCTCTGATCTGAGAACTGCTAGAGGTGGATGTCTGTCCCTGGGAAAAGTTGAGGGGACAGCCTTGGCATAGCTGAAGGTAGGATCTTCATCGTTCAGTTACCCCAAAGTGTTATTTCCTTTGCAACAGGAATGTTTCCCATCTGGTTAATCTTGAGCCTGGCTATGATAACCTATGAATAGTGTGGAACTTCGCTGACTGAGTGGCTATTCCAGAAAGCTAATATGACTCTGACCTGAACTCAAACAGAACTAAGGATGCTTTATCTTGTTATAGCTATGTAATTTGTGCTCTTAGCCTTAGGCTTGGAGGAACAGTTCTGATGATGTTGTTACAACCACGTCCCTCCTTCTTCCTTAAATAGCACATTTCTCTAACCATAGGAGGTAAAACTGTAATTTAAATCTGTGTGTGTGTGTATGTGTGTGTGTGTGTGTGTGTGTGTGTGTGTGTGTGTGTGTGTGTGTGTAATGAATCTTGATTCTGTAATATCCCAGCACCTCTAAATTTCTATAATAGGATGCAAGTAAAAGGCACCATATTGTGTAGCTTACTTTGATGTTCTTCCTACAGCTCTGTTGTTTACAAGGTTAGCTCCATAAGGTCTGAACTGATTTTCACCACGTGAACTTGTTACTGGAAGGCCAATTTGATCATTCAATTTTACTAAACCATACTAAGTCTTATATACTAAGAGAATCTTCACCAATGACCTAGAACCTGGAGATGGTCGAGGAAATACTTCCACAAAACCTGCCCTGATCCATGCCCAGATGTTTGAGAGATGCACAAGAAGAGCTTGCCAGACTCCTAGAGATCATGGATGCTGCCAAGGGAACTGACACGCTTAAAGCTATAGCTATAATGAATTTGTTCACTCTACTCCAATTTTGCTTGTTTTATTACTTCTATATGTGTTATGGGCCTATTATCCTGCAAGCTGCTTATAATTTTGGCTTGGACTGATACTGATTTGGAAACTGTTAAAAAAAAAAAGTGAGACTATCAGTAGGCTCAAGCAAGGTGCTGTGGGGGTATCTTTGGGCTCCCATTGCCATTGCTGAGTTTGTAAAAGGGACCCAATTCCTTGTCATTGGTCATGCATAGCAACAGAATGCCCAGAATATATAAAAAGGTAAACATGAGTAAAAAATCAGAAGGGACTAAACAAGGATAAACTGTTTACATTCCTATATGAAGAGATGATACAGAACTTTATCATTACTTGGGGCAGCTAAAGGAAGGCTACTTAGAATGCATAGGGTATGATTCTATTATTTTGGGATAATCTCAAAATAAAAAAAAATGGAAGGATGAGAAAGACGAATGAACCGGGAGAGGGACAAAGGGAAAGGAATGCAGAAAATTATCTTACATAAATGGAGTGTAAGGAAGAGTTTATGTAAAGCAGAAAGGGGTAGGGAGTGGGCAATACTTGATTTGATGTGGTTCAGGGAGGAAAGGATATACACATATATACACAAAGCTAGGTAGAGAAATTTTTCTTACCTAATGCAGGGGAAATATAAGAGTAAAGGCAGATTAAGGGAGGCAGTGATCAAAAGCAAAATAAACTCTTAAGAAAGGAACAGGATAAAAAAGAGAAGGATAAATATAAGAGAATAGGATATATGGAAATAACACAGTTAGCAATAATAACTGTAAATGTGAATATGATGTGTTGACCCATAAAATGGAACAGGATGTTAAAATAGACTGGAAATCAGAATTGAACAATATATTGTTTGTGAGAACTTGAGACAGAAGGATATACATAGGGGCGGAGCCAAAATGGCAGAGTAAAAGCAGTGACTTGCTTGAGCTCTCCTCCAAACCCCTCCAAATACTCATAAAAAATGGCTCTAACAAATTCTGAAGCAGCAGAACCCACAAAAACACAGAGTGAAACAAATTTCCAGCCCAAAACAACCTGGCTGATTGATCAGAAAGGTGTATCGTGCCGGGCTGGGAACATAGCGCAGAAGGAAACAGTTCAAGTACTGTGGAAACACCATCAGGATAACACAAGATTTAGCAGTTTCTACATTAAAGGACTGCAGGGCATGGAATATAATATTCTGGAGGGCAAAGGAGATAGGATTACAACCAAGAATCACCTACCCAGCAAAACTGAGTATGATCCTTCAGGGGAAAAAAATGGTCATTTAGTGAAACAGAGGACTTTCAAGCATTCTTGATGAAAAGACCAGAGCTGAATAGAAAATCTGACTTTCAAATACAGGACTCAAGTGGAACATGAAGAGGTAAACAGGAAAGAGAAATCATAAGAGACTTATTAAGATTAAACTGTTTACATTCCTGCATGGAAAGATGATACTTATAACTCATGAGACCTTTGTCAGTATATGTAGATAGAGGGCACAGGGTGAGTTGAAGATTAAGGGGTCATATCTGGAGAATAAAATTAAGGGATGAGAGAGGATGATACCCAGAGAAGAAAAAAGGGACAGGTAGAATGGGCTAAATTATCTCACAAAAAAACCAAACAAACCAGAAAAGAAAAGTCTCTTACAGTGGAGGGGAAACAGGGGAAGGTGAGAGGGAATGAGTCAATCTTATTCCCATAGGATTTGGCTTAAGGAGGGAATAACATACACATTCAATTGGGTATGGAAATCTGTCTTACCCTAAAGGAAAATAGGGGGAGAGAAGGACAAGAGAGTAGGGGGATGATAGAGAGGAGGGCAGATTGGGAAAGGGAGTAATCAGAAGCAAATACTTCTGAGGAGGGTCAGGGTCAAAAGAAAGAACAGAATAAATGGGAGGGCAGGATAGGATTAAGGGAAATAGAGTCAGTTTTTCACAACATGTCTACTATGGATGTGTTTTGCATAACTGCACATGTACAACCTATATTGAGTTGCTTGCCTTTTCAATGAGGGTGGTGGGAGGGAGGAAGAGAGAAAATTTGAAACCTAAAGTTTTAAAAACATATGTTTGAAAAAAAATATTTTCACATGCTACTGGGAAATAAGAAATACAGGAAATGGGGTACAGAAGTCTATCCTGCCCTACAGGAAAATAGAAGGGGAAGGGGATAAGAGAAGGGGAGAGAGATAGAAGAGAGGACAGACTAGGGGAAGGGATATTCAGAATGCATGCCATCTTGGGGTGGGGGGAGGGGGGAGATGGGGTGAAAATCTGGAATTCAAAAACTTGTGGGACTGAATGTTGAAAACTAAAAATAAATAAATTTATATTAAAAAAAATAAGAAAAAAGGATATACATAGTTAAATGTTAATAATAAGGGGCTGGAGAAGAATCTATTATGCTTCAGCTGAAGTAAAAAAGGCAGGAGTAGTAATCATAATCTCAGCAAAAGCAAAAGCAAAGGCAAAAATAGAACTAATCAAAAGAGATAATCAAGAAAACTACATATTGCTAAAAAGTATCATAAACAATGAATTAATATAAATGTTGAACATATATGCACCAAATACAATAGCATCCACATTTTTTGAAGGAAAAGTTAATAAACAGTAAAACCACAATAGTGGGAGACCTCAATTTGTCCCTTTTTGACCTAGATAAATATAATCACAAACTAAACAAGAATTAATTAAGAAGATGAATAAAATTTTAGAGAAGTCAGCTATGACAGACTTCTGGAGAATATTAAATGGGAATAGAAAGGAGTATAATTATTTATCACCTGTGCAAGGCACCTTCACAAACACTAAACATGTATTAGGCCAGGGGTGGGAAGTCTGTGGCCTTCTAGGTCCTGAAGTGCAGCCTTTTGACTGAATCCACATTTTACAGAACAAATCCTTTAATTTTTATTAATACATTTTCGTTCATCTTGTATATTTATATTTAATTTTTAAAAATGAATGTATTTAAAATACCAAAGAATAAAATGTTTCAATGAAGTAATCCTCCCAGATTGACCGGCACAATTAGAACTTACTGATGTAAGCCATAAAGGCTAAATTGATGGCTTCTACGTTCATTATTTAGTTCTAACTTTCCCTGCCTGACTGGTGCCACCAGTACAAGGCTGGTTGGCAAGCATTTATGGGGGTCAAGTACACCAGTATGTTATCAGCTTTGGACAATGGAGCACTGTGTTTCTGTTTGAAGTGGAATTTGTGAAAGTTGCACAGCTCAACAATATTTTTTAATTCTGTCTGCTTAACAACCCATCATGTCAAAGAAGACCAAGAGGATGCTGAAGGAAGAAAACAGATTTTTTAATGAGGATTGAGAATTACAATATTATCTTGTTTCTGCTAGAGAAAAGATGATTTGCTTGCTTTGTGATACTGCAATATCAGCATTAAAGAAATTCAATGCTCATTAGCACTGTAACATTCATAAGGACCACAGATATTTTAAATTAAGAGAGAGAGGCATGACAAATTGTAGTGCAGAAATTAAAAGATGAAAAGCAAAAGCAAAGACAATTCTTTCAACTCATAATGTAGCTTATATACTTGGGGAAAAAAGGGAAGCCATTCAGTGATGGAGAAATTGTGAAAGAATGCATTGTTGAAGTTGTAAGACGCTTAGATCCTGATAATGTTTCAAAGTACAAACAACTGCCTCTTTGAAGGAGAACCATAACTGATCAGCAGCATGAATTAGCCTTCAACTACATGAAATACTTCAAAAGGAAAATATATGTTATTCAGTTACTGTGGATGAATCAACTGATACTACTGACTTGGTGCATTTTCAGAGAGTTGTATTTAAGTAACTTATTTTTATTCATTGATTTTCATTTGGTGGTCAAGGTCAAATATTTAATAGTTTCTTTTGTTTGTCCAGGACTATGATTTCATTAGTATGAAAAACTCCCTTTAGTTAATGTAATATTACACCAAGCCTTTTCTGTTTTTATATAAAACATTTTTAAAATTACCCAACAGCTATCAACTGGCAACTATCCTGCAATTTATAATTTTATTCATGGCCTTAGATTCTGGAAAACCTGGGATCAAGGTTCACATGTGACACATCCTGATTTCATGATTCCCCTGAGGTACTTTAACCTTTTACCCCCAGGTTACATTTTTAAAAGATTGTCTTTTTACATGCATGCAATGGGAGGATATATAAATCCTACCAAGCCAAACCAGACTATTAATCAGATTAGAAATGTAAATGTTTTTAATACTATGAAATATTCAATGACAACAATTTTTCAAAATAGATAGGATAGCAGACCTAATTTCTTTTTAAACAAACTATATATCAACTATAGACATAGTACATTAAGAAAAAATATCAAACACATTCTGAATCTTAGAAGTGTTTTAATCTTCATAAAGATATAATGCCTCTCTTGTCAGTACAAGCCAAACTTTTTAAAGTATCTGCTCAAAAAAAATTTAAGAAAGGATTTGGGGCAACTACCACAATAAAATCTTGTCCGTGCACAGGGTTTCAAAAATTTTACCTCTCTTGAAGCAGGTCTATAACCATACCCAGATGGTAAATTTTTGTCTTCTTCACAGCCTTTGGCTCCTGGACTAAAGTGTAACTCAACATGAAAACGCTCTTCAGAGGACAGATCCTGAGAAAGGTGAGAAAATGTTCTCTCTCAAAATGAAGGATTTAGAGTTATTAATTTTTTCAAAAATGCAGAAAAAAATAACTGAACTAAGTTACCTTGTTTGGATCTTCATAGAGCATGATAACAATCTGAGTCATATAATTGAGTTCATTGACAACATTTAGGTAATCCATAGCACGTTTCCACTGATCATCTTTTGATTCCTAAACAAAATTACATGTTATACCATTTCTAGTTTGTTACATTACAGGTTTTAAATAGTAATTTTATTTTTCAGTATTCTTTCCTTAATTCTAAGAGACAAAATGGAGAGACCATGAATCTTCATTATAAAAGCCCACCATTTTTCAGTACAACTCATTGTAATGACACAAACAATAGGTTATACAGCCTTACTCATTTCTGTTTACGTAAAATATGAACAATATCATGGCTTACTGGATAGAACATTGGACTTCGAATCTGGAAGGCTTAGGTTCAAATTGCCTCTGACATTTACTAGTAATATAACCATGGGCAAATGTGCTCTATGTGCTTTGGCCTTTCTCTAGGATTTATTTAAGGCTTAGACTAGTTTGGATTGTGATCTGAGAGTTCATCTACTGTGAAAAATGATATTTTTTTTGCATATTCATATGCATAAAATATTCAAGTAATATTAAACAGCTCAATTTTTTGGTTTATATACATTCGAAAAAGTATCCAACAGCTCGAACAATTGTTACCACAATAAGTAATCCTATGTATCAATATATAAATGATCTTTTAAAAAAAGTAATGTATTGATTATGTAAGATCTGAAGGCAGAGATGGTCCCAGTATGACTATGAAAGTCCTACAGCATCTAATATAGTACTATACCCCCCCAAGCACAGTAAGTGCTAAGCTTTTTTCAGGGAGAAGAGAGAAAGACGTCTAGATTCATCCTTTTAAGGAACTCACAGTGTAGAAATTCCTTCCACAAAGAAAGAACAATTCATTTGTAATTTATAATCTTAATAAGTTGCCTAGGGCAATGAGAGGTTAAATGACAAGTCCACAATCAGTTGCATAACTAACGACAAGGTATGAATCCAGAATTTCCCAACTCTAAGATTGCCCATACATAAATGTTAAGCTATCATCTTGGAATTTTGGAGCTGGGTGAAATCATCTTAGAGATCATCTAGTACAACTCCCTTAATTTACAAATGAGGAAGCTGAAGCAAAGTAATTTACCTAAGGTTATACTACTTAGGGAACTCTCAGATGAGGAAACTCCTACCAATTATTTCAGGTTAGCATTTCCTCCGAAACTTAAGAGTCTCCTAATTGGCTATTTGAGAAGGGTAAGTGACTCCCCTAAGGTCACACAGCCAATATTTAGGACCTGAACCCAAGTCTTCTGGCATGGTGACTCTCAATTATACATACATACTTATTTGTGCACGTACAAATTATGTGTATAGAAAATACGTAACATAACTTACACATGTACATCTATAAAATTGTTTGAAAATAACTTCTTTAAATTAAATTAAATCATATTTTGCTATAAACTTACCTGATTCCTTCAGAGAAGTTTTATTGTCTTAGTTTGAAGTTTGGTATACTATGTGCCTTGTTTTCAAGAAAATCTAATACAGGATCACAGATTTAGAGGTGGATGGGACCTCAGAAGTCATTATGTCTAACCCTTTTATTTTTACCAACAGAGAAACTAAAGCTCAAAGAGGTTAAAATAATTCCCCCAAGATTCCACTGGTAGCATATGAAGAGCTGGCTTTTAAAAACCATAGTTATAAACACAGAGAAATCATGCATTGTTTATTCATTTTCTAAAAGGATCCATTAGTTTCCCTTTCAAGTTCTGACATTTTATCTTCCTGGATAATATCCATCTTCTCTGTTTCTAGGAGGTTACTGATGGGAAGAAATGAGTCAGTGACCCAGAGATGGGAAGATGTTGCAGGGGGTCAGTGCATGGAACATGTACTCCACTGTGCCTCCAGTGTGGAAATTAAGGAACAATGTCCCTAATCCTATTACCTTCAGGAGCAGCACACATGCACAGAGAAAAGAACAGAGAAAATGCATTAGCCATAGAGAAAAAATGAAATCAAGGCATCACCATACCTTCTTTTAAGATATTTTAGGAAATATCTTGTTTGTAGAATAATTGTAGTGGAAAATTGCATTAGGGTCCCATGGGTTAGATTTTAGGTAACTCACAATTATAAGCACTTTAATTTACAGAATGCTTTTAACTTCACAATAGTGCTGTGAATACAATTATTATTGTTTTCAACTGCTAACATCTTGCATATAGTAGGTACTTAAATAAATGCTTATTGTTTTGGATTGGAAATGAGAAAACAGAATCAAAGAAGTCATGTAATCCCCCTACTCAATAAATTCCAGTGACTCCCTATCACCTCTAGGATCAAATATGAAGTCTATTTGGCATTTAAGGATTTTCATAACCTACAACCTGCCTTCCTTTCTAGTCTTCTCATACCGTATACCTTCACAGACCTCTTTGGCCCTCCTCTCCACCTCCCTCCCCCCACTCCTCTATCTAGTTACAATAGTCTTCCTGGCATCTCCCAACTACAGGCATTTTCACTAGCTAAATTCTGGCTTCTTTCAAGTCCCAGATAAAAGTCCATTTTTTTTATAGGATGTCTTTCCTGATCCACCCTTAATTCTTATGCCTTCCTTCTATTGATTTAATTCAATTTTCCCTGTATGCACGTGGTTTGTACATAGTCGTCTGCACATCGTCTTCCCAATTATACTGTGAGGTCCTTGGGAGCAAAGACTGTCTTCTTCCTCTCTTTTCATTCCCAGTGCTCAGCACAAAACTGGCACTCAATAGGTATTTAATTAATGTTAATTGATTTTTATTAGGTGGTCACACTGTCAAGTGTTAGAGATCTGACACTTGAACCCAAGTCTTACACTTCAAGTCCAGTGCTCTTTACCCAATGCCACACGTCTTATCATTAAAGAAAACAAAAAGCCTAACAATAAAAAAAAATCTGCACATAAGAACACAGAAAAATCTTAGCTGAGAAAAATGTGTATTTAGCAACTAAAAATATCAAAATTAACTGATATCACCAAGTTCTGGGTACTTTTATAAAACACAATGGAACATACTAGTAATTAAACTTACATCACATAAGGCACCATAACGAAGGATGGATAGTAAAGAGTGTACATGACTTTCACTGGTGAAATATAATCTAGTACGGACATGACGTTCAGGGGACATGACACCTCTGGAATACCTAAAGTCAGAAACAAAGCGTATTTTAAAGACATAACAAAGTCATAATCTATTTTATGAAAAGGAAGCACAGTTTTATGAGAAATGTAATTTAAAAAAATATACAAGCCATAACATCTGACACCATACAAAATAATCACAAAGTATGAACTGTCATACAGATATTTTTGTTGCACAAATCATCATTCCAGAGAGCAAGACTTAAAACTGACACTAACCACAAATGGAGCAGAAAGTGATTTTTAAAGTATTATTTTACTGAGATATATTAGAAAAGAGCTAAGTAGGGTTATCACCAGTTAAGATTTACCAGACAACTACTAGGGCTCATGGAATAAAGTGCTCTGACCCCAAAGGAAAAGCCCAGAAAGGAGGCCAGGTGACACTTAGCTGGCACTTGATACTCTCTAATCTCTAGGCCTTCGTGACATTGCTCTCATCGCGTTTTCCTCCTACCCATCAGACCACTCCTTCTTAAGTCTTCTTACATCTTCATTCAGGTTACACTTGCTAACCATGGGAGTTCCACAAGTCTCTATAGTGGCCCTTTTCTCTTCTTCCCTGATACTGTTTCACTTGTTTATTTTATCAGCTTCCATGGATTCAATTACCATCTATTTGTCCAATCCTAACTTCTCTTCTGACCTCCAGTCTTGAATTTCCCATTGCCTGTTGGATGTCTTGAACTGGATGTCCATATACAGATATCTTAAATTCAGCACGTCCAAAACTAAATTCATCCTTCCCTGACAAACCTTCCTCTACCTCTAACTTCTTTATTGCTGCAGAAGGTACTGTCATCCTCCCAGTCACCCAGAAAACTTGCAACCTAAGTGTTATCTTCATTTCTTGTTCACTCTTACACCCTATAGCCAATTTCTTGTCAAGTCCTAGCGATTATATCTTCACAAAATCTTTCCTTTAGGTAATCTCTTTTCTCCTCTGATTCTGCCACCAACCTGGTGCAAGTTCTCATTGTCTCATGTCTAGTCTACTGCAACGGCCTTCTGGTTAGTGTTTCTGCTTCCAGTCTCTTCCCACTCTAGTCCATCCTCCACTCACTGGTCAAACTGATTTTCCTAGAGTACAGATATGATCATGTTACCCCACCCTATTCAATGAACTCTACTGACTCCATATTTCCATTGACTATTACCCCCATACCTGGAATTCTTTCCCTTTTCCCCTCAGCCTCTCCTGGCTTCTCTGGCTTCCTTTAAGTGACAGCTAAAATTCCACCTTCTGCAAGAAGCTTTCCCCAATATCCTTTAATGCTAGTGCCTTCTCTCTGTTGATTATCCCCACTTTATTTTGTATATATTTTTTTCCTGTATATTTTATTTTTTTGTAAATTTATTCTGCATATTTCATTTCCATATTTTTAAATAAGTTTTTATTGATATCTTCTGTTTATTCTATCATCATAGTTTTCCTGAGGATCCCCCCCACAGAGCCATCTTACATAACAAAGATTATTTCTTAAAGAAAAAAAAGAGGAAGGGAAGGAGGGAGGGAGGAAGGGAGAGAGAAAGAGAGGGAGAGTGGGAGGGAGGGAGACAGAGAGAGAGATATCAGCACAAACAATCAATACATAGAAAAACTCCAAAAATGCATAATTTGTAATACCTATGCCCCTCCCACTTCCACAAAAGGGTGAGTTTGGGGTGGCCCTCATATCTCTTATTCTGTATATATCTTGTTTGTATATAGCTGTTTGTATGTTGTCTCAACTGTTAGACTGCAAGCTCCTTGATAGTAGGGGATGTTTTTGTCTTTCTTTGTATCTCTACTAGCTTGTCACAGTGCCTAAGACATAGTAGTTACTTAATGCTTGACATTAAATGCTTAGTGACTTGAATTAACTTGGTAAAATATGACTGTTCTATCACTCACCAAAGTTCTCCCTCAGTACTGAGCCAAAAAAAATTTGATTACTACTTGTAACGCTTGACAATTTAGTACTCCTTAATTCTCCAAACATACTAAAAAATAGTTTATTTTATATACTGTATTAATTCCTGAAACTTTAGATCAGAATACTTTCTACATCTTTACATTCATGCTAGTAGCTAAATTAGAATTTCTGCACATAACTTCCCCCCCCATTTTTAAAATGTCTCTTACAGAGGATGGAGTTTATTCACAGTGTCATCATCTTGTGTTCTCTGAAGGTCTGATCGAATTTTCTTAACTAGAGGGGTGCAGAAGCCTTTAGCAATCTCCAGTTTTTCAGCTTTAGATATGCCATATTCCTAAAGAGAAAGAAAATATAACAGTATTAGAAAAATGACATTTCAAACATCACTAAGAAAGACACTGATGACAGAAAAATATATTACCAGAAAGATTTATTGTTCATGTATGAGCATGAGACTATTCTGAGTTTGAACTTATGTACCTACAAATATTTTCTAAATTATTTAGCATAATTTCTATTGGATAAACTATAAATAATATTCATGCATGGATATTAGTTGACTTCAAAGAATATTAAAAGTAACATGTAATTTATCCATACATTTTATATTGATCTATGACTATGAGAACTAAGAGAAATAAAATGGTGAATCAATGGTGGATCATCTATGCATCTTTACTTAAATGTATAGTTTCATTTCATATTGCTTCTTCCATAAGTACCTGCTTCCTAAATTTAAATACAAACCTAAATATTGTTTCTTTAAACTAAGTAGGGTAAGATAAATATTTACATAATATCTTGATGCCTCCAGGACTGTGAATGAGTAACTCAAAACTAGTGGAAATTTCTTTTCAAGGACCCTTTAAACATAAACAGGATTAATTCTGCCATTTGTTTATTCACATTTTGAAAAATGTCTCCAATCTAAGCATTCCAATAAAAAAATGATTTAAATTGAACCTAAGAAGCTCAAAGGTGGACAGAGCGCTTGCAGGTAAAAAAACTGTAATGCAGAACATTATTTTACCATTTGGGTAGTAGAACCCTTTAGGCCATGGAAGCCTCCAAATTCCTTAGCAAGACCCTTATCTGGCTGCTCAGGCCACAGCCCTCAGATCATATCTCTGGAAGCCTCCATTGTGAGAAAGTTTGCAGAGCATTATCATATCTACACAGAGGGAGAAGGGTGTCCTTGACCAGCCCCCCCCAAAAAATCCTCTTCCTCTTGCCAGACTTCAAAGATCCATCCCCCTCCCTGTCCTGTATACTCCCTATATAAACCCTAGCTCAACCCCGATGGGGGCTGCTTGATTTGGATGTGAATATCCCTGGCAGCCACGCGCTAATAAAGTCCACTCGCTCATTTCTCGGTATAACAAAACATTCAAAAAGATCAGTACAGTACTGATAGGAAAGACAGCCTGTGAGTTAAGCCTTGAAGAAAGCTAGGGATTCTAAGAGGCAATCTGTAGTAAAGAGGGAGTATAAATCAGACACAGCTTGAGCAAAAGCAGACAGGAAATACAATACCATATTCAAGAAACAACAAACAGGCCAATCTGGGGTAGCATCTGAGGTCAGTGGGAAAATGTGCTAAGGCTTGAAATGCAGCAAGTATTATCTAGTAAATAGCCAAGAGCAGCTTCTATTTGCATTACAACTTTGCAGGAGTCTGCATTCAAAAGCTATTCTGCAAACAAAGGTGGAAAGTTTGTCCTCCTTTTTAATTCTCTAAAATGTTAGGGTTAGGATTCCTGAAAAAATGTGCAAGGAAGAGCACAATTTGTAAAGTTAACTTAGAATTTAGGAACAAAAGGATTGGAACCTGCTAAGAGAGCACAGACATAATAAAAGTGCTCCATCTGTCCCAAGACACCACAGTCTAGCTAGATGAATGGTTTGGAATGCTAAAAATTAATTCTAAAATAAATTTAAAAAAAATCTAGTGAGAATATTATTAAGGAGTGGACCAATGTGATCAATCTGGTATAGACATAGAAGTATACTGCTAATGTTAAATCCATGATCACACAGCTGCTGAGTGTCAGAGTCAGGATTTGAATTATTAAACTATTAAATGCAGGTTTCATTTAGGTGGATTTTGAGGACACACACATACATTTAGTTATTTAAATTCTGGTTTAATAAGAATCTTATGTTACTGTGTTGTAGAAATGGCAAGACGGATGGATTCAGAGAAACATGGGAAAACAGAGAAATCAATGTAAACTGAAACAGGTAAACCCAGAAGAACAATTTAAACAATAACTACAACACTTTAAAGAAAAACCCTTTAAAGACTTAAGAGCTCTGATCAAGGGAAATAACCAATCAAACTCTAAAGGAAATTTAATAAAGCATGCTATCCACCCTTCTGATATGACAGTGATGGAGATGAGATTAATAGAGCACTAATGATGGACCCCTGGACTAAAAGACTCCTAACAGGCCCTGGACTTTCCCACACAACCCAGCCCCTAAACCCAGATATCTGGTGTTTACCTGAGGCACCTGGCCCTTCCTGGTCAACAATCCTTTTAACTGGCCTTCCACTGTGGCCCTCATTATCTGCACCTGCCCCACCCCAGGCTACTTGCCACCCCTGGATCCCATCCAGATCTTCCCACAGTCTTTCTGTGTAAAAGTGTCCATCTGCCCTCATTAAATTGCTCAGATTCCTAAAATCTGGCCCCCTTGTATTGGCCACGCAGTAACCCTTGTCTCTTGGAGTGAAAGAAGGCTTGAGTGGTCGGATTCTTTTGAGGCAGACCCATGCCCTTTGCATTTCGGGGTTCCCGGCACCCCTAGACCACAACAAGATGGAGAATGAAATATAGATTTCTGGATATGGCCAATGAGTGGATTTGTTTGTCCTGATTACGCCTATTTGTCACGAAAGAGGTTTTAAAAAACATTTTCGATGGGGGAAATGGTAGGAAAATAATGAGTCACAGTGAAGAGAAAGAAAAGATCACTGGAATATTACTTTAAAAAAACCAAAAAAACCCCAAAACATACAATAGAGAATAGAAAAAGCCTGAGATGGAGACACGGACAAGCAGGGTATTTTTAAAGCTGTCATGTGTCTTATAAAAGGTAAAATGTTTGCAATGGAAATTAACTGGTTTCATGTAAAATCCTCTTTTTCTGTCTTTTGAATACAGAAATATTACTGTTAATTAGTTCTTATAAAATAACAAAAATTATTTTTAAGAGTCCATTGTTCAACAAAATAAATACCTAAATATTTGCAGGTTATTTCCAATATGTATTAAATGCTAGAAACAAATTCTAAAACTAGAGTACTTGGAGCACAAAGTTGAGGAGCTGGCAAACTAATCAAGTGGTTGATTAGAGAATGTGATAATTCCCTTTCCATTGCTTAAGCACTGGGCACATAGCAGAAACTTGACTATTTGAACACTGCAATTAGTGCTTGCTCATTAGTCACTGTGCTTATTAAAATATTATTACCTTCTAAAATAAACTATTTTTAACTTATTTACATGACTTAGCTAACATAAAACAAAAATATTTAGAATTGGAATTGAATTTAAAAACTTAGTTATTTATTTTAAGTTATAGTTACAATTTTATAATATTTGTTTAGCATTATTTATTTTGCTTCATCACTTTAATAATTCTGACACTGGACACAGAAAAATATTTCATTAAACTGAAAATCTACCTAATAATGCCACCTATTTATCAATCATTGCAATATAAGTGATTCTTACATTTTAGTACTTACCTGAGGGATAACAATATCTGCTAATGCCTTTGAAAACCTGTACAAATCCATTGTATTTTCTAATTTCAAGGAGCCATTATGCTGAACATCATATTTTATACAATCATATATGTCAGGGATTTTACTGATATCGTATTTTCCATTCTTTGTTTTAAAATCCTTTTCCAACTTGGACCATCGACGCAGCATTAGTTCCAACGTTTCACTGTGATAAAGCTGGATGTCTAAAACAAGGAAATAAATTGTCAAACAACATTTCAATATTCTGAAGTTTAAAAACAGTCTAATTAATGTACATTTTAATTAGGCAATTTTTACCATTAACAATTTTTAAAATGAAATATATTTCTTATACATGCAAGTTCAAATTTTTCATTATGAACTGTTTGTGAAGAACTGTTTACATATATTATTATCTTCAGTAAAATTAAAACTCATTAAACTTTTAATTTGCTCATTAAGTATTATTTTCTTTAGAATCACTTAAGCCAGGTAGATGAATAGATATGGCTAAAAGGGACTTCAGAGATCATCTAGATAACTATAAACTAGGTAGCACAGTAGATAAAGTGTTAAAACAGTGTTAATAAAGTATCAGGCAGATTTGAGGTAAAATTTGGCCCTAATCACTTATAAGCTATGTAACCCTGGGCCAATTATTTAATCTTTGCCTGCCGCAGTTTCTTCGTCTATAAAATGGTGATAATAACAGCACTCACCTCCCCGAGTTGTTATGAGAATGAAATGACATAGTATTTGTAAAGTGCTTTGCAAACCTCAAGTTAAAGAGCTATATTTTAAAAATGGTAGGGGTGCTGTCTTTTGACTCATGCAAAATATGGATTTCAGTGAGGCAGAATTGTGGGAAGTTGTCAGTCTCACTCTCTTCCACAGTCATCGAAGTCCAGTGCTAAGACAAAAGTCAAAATGACTGGCAATGGTTCAGGATGCAGTGGATGAATGACCTTGGCATTTCTGATATCTAACCAAGCTCTAAAGGCTCCACAGAGTCTGCTTCTGCCACCTTCATGGCCTACTGAAACAAATTGTTTACATCCACCTATTCCTCCAGGCAAGTCTTCACATACTTGGGGTAGATACCCCCTAACTCATCGATGAGTTTGAGGCTCTTTGGTCAGTCTCAACCTGGTTTTGCCCATCTGCCAACATAGTTTAGTGGGGTGTGGCTGCTGTGCATACTACAGCTTCGTGGAGCCATAGCTGAGAGCTGGGTGGCAGATGAACATCAAAGGTAGAAAGCAGCCTTGGTCTACCCTGACCACCTGTACACCCCACTATACAAACGCTAGCTGCTATCATCATCATCATCATCATCATCATCATCATCATCATCCACCAGAGGATTATGGAAATGATACTGGAGAACATGTAGTCTAACCTCTCATTTTTTTAACATGTAAAACCAAAGGCCCAGAGAGATCGCACAGCTGAGTCACAATTCGAATACAGATCTTTTGAGCATAGTGCTCTTATCACTGGACTATGCGGTTCTCTCCTAATATTATTTATGACAAAACTGAAATCAAATGTAGCTATCTGCCCAAGGTCAGATAAATGACAGAGCTGAGATGGGACTGGAAGCCAAATCTTCTGGTTTCTAGTCAGGTGTCCTTAAAAAAAAGAAGAAAAAAAAAGCAAATCCAGTTTGGTTGTATTTCTTGTTATAGAAACTTTATGCTACAGTGAAATTAGTTTTTAAAAGGGTTATAGATTTGTATATTACTAAAGATAAAGATATTTGTCGCATCAAATTAAAATAGGCTTATGAAAGTTCTACAACAGATACATGTCTTAAGTCCAAAGACAAATGCAGGTATTTTGAAACACATCTTTTACCTGATGACTTGGGATCTTCCATTCTTTGTCTGATTTGAGAAGTCAAACTTTGAATCAAGGAGTAAACTTTGTCACAGGTCTTCACAGGATTTTTAATTAATTGCATTGATTTGATAACAGAAAGGCTGCCAGATGGAGTAAGCTGCAGAAATATAGTTGTTTTATACTTTAGTTATGCCTAATTAAACATTTGCTAAAAACAGCATATGCAAAAAATTATCAACATGCCTGTACGTGACAAAAATAACATAACCAAGAAGGTTAAGGGTATCCAAAGTACACCGAACTTCCACATCCACATAGGAGATCAGTTAAAACAACAACATGGATAGGAGGTCTATAGGAAAGTTACTGAGGAATCAGTCAATGACTCTGCATTTCCTCAGCCCAGCAGGCTTTTTCTGACATTGTTTCTAAGGCCTTAAAGACAATTTATTCCATTTCACCCACACTTACTTAATTTCTACCATTTTATCTTTTAAAATCCAAGTCACAGGTCACCTTCTCCACACAGCCATTCCTGAATCTTCCCAGTTGATAATAATCTTGACCAATGGGATGCACTGGAATAACGGGGGAGGGGGAGAGGGAAGCACATCACAATGTACTTACCTTTTCATGGTCTTCAGGAGTAAAATCTCTATCTTTCTGAAGTATTTCATGAAGTCTTGCTTTCACACGATGTTGGCAACTGCTTAGGGAATCCCTATCACTATCCAAAAGTCCATTCATATTTGCACTTTTTACCATTTGGACAAGAATGGGGGTAAGCTCACCTTCTAGAGCCAAAAGTCCCTAAACACAGTAAATCAATCAACAGAGATAAAAGGAATTAATACACAAAGAAATGGAAAGAACAATGATACTTATATTCATCTTCTTAATGATTTTTGTGAGATGAAAGCTAAATAATTTATAGAGGATAGGATTCAGTTATTAGTTTGAATTTTGAAAATCCTAAAATATTTACATAAACACTAATTTTTTTTTTTACTATTTATATCAATAGGAATTATCTCAGGTCAAAGGCTTATAAAATATTAACTTTATTAAACAAGGAATAATTTTCTGAAAAAATTCATACCTTTGCAAAAGCTGCTGCAGTCATTTGGACTCGACCTTCATCAGAAGCATATATTTTGAGGTCATGTCGGTAGGTGCTGTGTAATCTAAGTAAACCACAACCAGGAAATCCTGCATAGTCACCTAAAAACAGATATTTCGATCACTTTAGCTAAATTTTAGTCAATTATTTTTGTATTTTTATAAACATAACAAAATGTCAAAAATAAATCTAGCAAATTTTGCTAACTAAACAATTTTTAACTACTATCAATGAAGTTAAGGGAAAGATAATAAATACTTTTTAAAATAAAAAGATGATGAAAATACTTTGAAAAAATTACCTTGTCCTCCAGGATACATACACCTGAAAGCTCTTCCAAGTTCTTCGGCCTGGACCCTTCCTGCAGGAGTTAATTCTCCTCCCCATTTCAGAACCAAAAGTAAAGATGGCTCTTCTCTTCGATTGTCTTAAAATACCAAGAAATACATTTATTTTTAAAAATTGGATTCAAATTGTTTTCTCAGCTAAACTCTTTGCTTCATGAATACACAGACTTCAAGGTCTATTACCTACTTACTGTTCTGTAATGGAATTCCTCCTGGAATGCAGAGGACAGGACCTTTCTATAATCAACGATGTGACATTCTAGCAACAAGTTATTTGTAAAGTTCTAAGATTTGCAAGGCAGATTAAGAAAAAAGTATGTAGCTGAAGTTCTTATATAGAACCTAATGGAGCAAGGAAACACATACCCTCAACCCTACCTTTCTGGGTTAGTTACACAAAAAGAATTTAATCCTCATAATGAAATGACCTCTTTGAAATGGATATTTTTCTATAAAATTATATGACTGATGTTTTTACAAATATACAAAGAATATACACATCCAAGTAAATGTTATATTTCAAAGTAATAATCACCTTGAGATACTATATAGCTATTCCAATAATGTTGACATTGCTCAAAAGATTTCTATATGTGCTTTTGAAGTCAGTTTATAAAACATAGAAGAAAATAGATTTGGTTTTTTTTTGTTAGTACATCTCATTTTTGACCAAAAGGAGTATTATACAGCTTAGTAACCTCTTATTTATCAGATATGGCAGCAAATGATCCCAGGTCATCTCTGTAAATTAAATGCTCAAAGACCAAAGATCTTTCAGCAGTAAAGAAAAGAATAATTCCCACTCACATAGAACTTCGGGGTTTGTAAAATGCCTTTCTCACAACACTCCTATGAAAAAGGTGGAATGTGCCTAACGATCTGAACAATCGAAGCACTGTTAGACTACCTATGCATATTGCTTCCAAGGGAGAACATTCTTTTGGATCTCTAAGTTTTATGTACGCAGAAATATCTGTTGCAATATCTTATGCACATGTCCCCTGTCAGGCCAATCTGCAATTGTTTACATTTTATCTTGTATGTTCCATTTCCTCCTTCCTCTGTTAAAATAGGAGATACAATATCTCTGTTGGGGGAGACAAGAATACAGTTTCTATAGTTAATGACAGAATTAAAGAGAATTAGGAGTGGAGGTCCTGGTTCACAATGTACCAGAAATATGTCAGAGGATAAGTTTCCTTTAGTTCATAAAATGAATGAGTGGCAAACAGGAAATCCAGAGAGTGAGAGTGTGAGAAAGAGAGAGAGAGAGAGAGAGAGAATGTATGTGTGTGTGTGTGTGTGTGTGTGTGTGATATTACATAACATATATTCATCCTTAAGCTAGCATCCTTGTAGTTACTAATGCTGAGGTAAATCACAAGACATTGCTAAGGTGATCGAGGCAGACTAATCTTGTACATATGTTTAGATCATTTATATAAAATTTTACTTATATACACATAAAATTATGTGTATGTTATATGTATGTATATAAATATAACTACATATACAATCTATATACATACACACATACGTAGATACACATATATACACAATTATCCAACTTTTTAAAGGATAACTAGGGGTATTCAGACTTGTGATTTCATTGACGCAAGATCTCTTAGGTATGGAAACTCTATCTTCCCATGAAGTTAGGGAACTTCTCCGTAATTTACAGTGCTTAGAGAGTTGTCTAGAGCACTAATAAATTAAGTGACTTGGCTGTGGTCACAGAATTAGTATGTATCAGAGGCAGGACTTGAATCTAGGTGTTCCTGATTCCATGTCAAGCCCTTTAGCCAGTATAACAAGCTACCTCAACACAAAAATGTTACATATTAATAATGTATACCTTCTTCCTCACTAGATGTTTTAGGACAACCATGAGGGAGATAAGTCAGCTGGACCTTACGATTTATTCCAGAAAAATGACCATACCTGAAAAATAAAAACAGTAGATTTAGAATATAGTTGTGGAAAGTCTAAAATACGTATGTACAACTTTGATCCCCCAATGTTGTAAAAATGAAAAATGATCAATAATAACTGAACTCACACAACTGCTAGGATGCAGACTTTAGCTCTTGTTCTAATACATAAAATTAACATTAAAATAGGAAAATAATGCTCAATAATAAATGATTAATATTTATATATTTCAGTCCCAAATATTAATCTTCTTCCCTTGCGTTTACAGCCTGTTGGCTTTATCAAAGATTAAAATTATGCTAAGTATTTTCCTTCTTTTCAGATCTGGCTAATGTAGAAATTTCTTTTGCATGACCATACATATGTGTAATGAGCTTTTTGCTCCTTGGCTTTCTCAAAGGATGAGGGAGACAGGGCAGTAAGGGAGAGAATTTAGAACTGTAAATTAAAATTAAATTAAAAATAAAATCATGCTAAAAACATCCAGGCTTAAATAAATAAAAAACATAGCAGAAATATAAATAATCACTATACTAACCTTTTAAAAAATTGTCATTGCCTTTATTTTCCCCAAAGTTACAGAATTTTGAAAATGTGATATCAAATGACTTTTCAGGGTTAACCTAGTGTGTGTGAACCTGCTTTTGAAAAATCTTTTAATAACTGTGTTTCAGTATAATTTGATTTCTTTTGTTTAATCCTATACATTTTATTTTAGATATTTAAAAACATTAGTCTGAGTAGGAATCCAAAGGCTTCATCAAACTACCAAAGAGGTCCATGATCTTCAATTCCTCTTTATTCTCTCAATTTATCAACTCTGTTTTGCCTTCATTTTCCTCTCTACTCAGTCTTCTGTGCTAGATCATTTCAATAATGCTCTGTCCTTCAAACAGGAATCCTTTGTCTCTTTAACCTTTTGCTTTTCCTGTCCTACTATCCTTAACCCTATCATTGTCCTCTCCCCACATCTACTCAAGTAGATGAACTAAAGAAAGTCATGAAACCAGACTGCTTAGGGTCACTACAAATTTATATTCACCAACTGGGTCCTCACTGCCACAAGACAGTCTTGTAGTAATCTCTAACTGAAATTTTATTACATTCTCTATACATTTATTAGATTAAAGGTTTCTTGGAAAAAGATTTATGCATTTCTTTCTTTGTATTCCCCGGACCCTAAACAGTACTTTACCTCCGATAGTAACTTTAAAAAAGTTTGTCTGGGGGCAGCTAGGTGCTGTAGTAGATAGAGGACCAGCCCTGGAGTCAGGAGAACCTGAGTTCAAATCTAGCCTCAAACATTTGACACTTACTAGCTGTGTGACCTTGGGCAAGTCACTTAGCCCCACTGCTTAGCAAAAACCAAAAACAAACAAAAAAAGTTTAATAAGATAAAAGAGTATAAAGAAAATATAAAGCTAGACTTCTTGACATGGTAGCTGAAAACAATGGTAAGGTCCCACATACTTACTTAAGCAAAACCCTAAAAGTTCACATTAGACCAATTAAGGATCAAGAAATTGAATCAGATGTATAGTGACTTCTCCTATCCGACAAGTGCACAAAAAGTCAGCCAGGAAACTGAGACCAATAACAAAGTAAGATCTGGTCAGCAAAGCTTGTGAAGGGTAACTTCCCTGCATGACAAAAGAGTGGCTTTGGAAGTCCTAAGAAGTGGCAGTGGGCAGTGACCAGCACTCACACTGGGGCACCTCAGGCCCAAAGATTTGGAGGCTGTCCTGATATACCAGAGAGGGCCCTGAAGAATCAGTGCTCTGAAGCTCAAAGATCTAAGAGGGATGAACCCTGAAGATGGAAGTCATTTCAAGAATCTAAGGGACCCAGGTCCAGATAAAATGGGGCCTACCAACCCACCCAAAAACACAAAAAGAAGATGCTTGGCACAAAACTCCGATTAAAGAACTAAAGCTCAAGATTTTTGTAAAGCAAAGTACACATTAATCAGAATATGAAGGTTATTGAATATCAGAAATTCCCCACAGTAAATGGAAAATAACTGCATAACAACTACAAGTAGAGACTCAAAGAAAAAAATGGATTTCCCACAAGGACTACATGAATATACAGAAGAATGAAATAAATAAAATGAAATGAAATCTCTGAGGAAAGATTTCGAAAGAGAATAATTTAGAAGAGAAAGTGGTAAATTTTACCAAGGTAACCAAGTCTTCAAAAACCAGAAAAAATCAAATAAAAATTAATGATTTCATTAGAAAGCAAAAAATAGTAGAAAATAATAAAATAAAATATAAGACACATGACATGGAAAACAATCCAAAAAACAAGTCAAGGAGAGATAATTTACGAATCAAAGGACTTCCTGAAAACAATAATATTTTTGAAAGTTTATAAAATATACTTGAAAAAATCTTTCTACTAAAAAACAGAGATCTTGGAATTCAATTTTACAAAAGGCAAAGATATCTTTTCCTGCAAAGTTAAACATAATCCTAGAGGAGGGAAAATGGAGGCTAAGTGAAAAGGAGGACTTCAAAGCGTTTGAGAAAAAGTCTAGATGTGAGTAGGAAATATGAAATACAATCATAAGATCCAGGCAAACCTAGAAAAGTAAATTTATTTGCGCAACTGGAAGGAGCTGTATGATGATATAGCGCAAATGTTCTAATGGGGAAAAAGAAACAAATGTTCCTTCAGAACCTTAATATCTTCAAAGGGAATTCTGGGAGTCAACAGAAATACAAAGAATTCAACAGGAAAATAAGCCAGGGATAGCAAATCTCAGGGGAAAAAACCCCCAAAGAACTAGAATCTAAGTGCTTTAGGTTGTTTCTTTGATAACCAAGGAATGTTTGAACAAATTATAGGATGAATGTACTAGAATATTACTGTGCTTGCTGTAAGACTTAATGAAAGATACAATTTCAGAGAATCTAGGGCAGTATCAACTGATGCAGAGTGAAATAAAGCAAAACTACACAATATAAGGTCAGCAATCAATGCAATGTAAAGAAACAACTTTGAAAGACTTAAGAACTCTGATCAATGCAAGGACCATCCAAAGGCTCTCCAAAGGATCTATGATGAAGCATGTTATTATGTACCTCCTGACAAAAAAGTGAAGGACACAAAGTGCTTTATATTACATTGCTTGTTGTAAGAATTTTTTATCTTTCTCTCTATTTTCAAATGGAGAGGAGTAAGACAGCAATAGTGCCAAATGCCAAAAAAGACCACTGTAACTTTTTTTTTAGATGCACAGAAGAAAACAGGAAGTTCAGAAGTAAGCACATAAGCAAGACAGTTCTGAAAGCAAAATGTGGAATTTATTATGTACTTTAAAAAAGAATAAAATGGAAATTGATGGTTTCACATAGAATTCTCCTATGTTTTGTTATGTAGACACAAGTTCTTTTTTTTGGTATTTAAATTCAAAATTTAAAAAGAAATTTTAAAAAGAAAAATTAAAGCCATCATTGATGGGCAGATATCTTCAAATATAATAGTGATCATGGGAATAAGATGAAGGTTTCAATATGTATCTATAATGCCATCAAAAAGCATTCCAAAGTAAAGATTTAATGAACAATTTTGTGCTTTATTAATTTACTCACATTTTAGCTAAGTAAAGTTTTCCTGAAAACTATATTGGATTGATGAGGATAAAACAACAAATTCATAGTGCAATACAAAGAATGATAAATTTGGAGTCAGAGGCCTGTAGGTGTGAATCCAGGCTCTGTCACTTACTACCAGTGCAACCTTGATCAAGTAACTTCTCTCTGAGCCTCAGTTTCATTATTAGTAAAATGATGAGTTTGGACTAGCTGACTTTTTAAGATCCCCTCTAGCCCTACATCTATGATTACATGAACTTAATAGTCATATTCTCAAGCTCACTTCTGAGTTCTCCTCTCAGTTTCTTATGTAAATTGGGAATGCTACTGAAGAAGTATTTCTACTTCAACACACCAACATTTTTCAGCAGGAAAATAATTTTGTCATTACACACACACTCCCACACACACATGGCTGGAGAAAAAAAGACAAAGGGATAAGGCTGAGAAAGATTCTCTGAAATGCCTAGGGGCTACTAAAAAGCTTACAGGCTAATTCTAAAGATACTCACATCTCCAATACAGTTTTTAATTGTTCAAGCTTTGCTTTACTTTCTTCAATTTCAGAATCATTATTTTGCCCCAGTTCTATTAAAAGTTGTCGAGCAATATCCAACACTTCCTACAAAATTAAGGCATAGAAATATTTATTTATGTAACAGTTGTTATATAAATTATAAGATCAAAAAAAAAAAGGTCAAATAAACTTGCCTGTAATTGTTTTGGCTTTTTCAATTTTAATTTCCCAGTTTTATATCCATTATAGTTTTCAAAAAGATCAAAAAATCTTTTAAGAGAAAACAAAGAATATTATTAGTTGAACAACAAAAAAAAATCTGTTTTTATTTGATAAAATGTATGCCCCCTTAAATGCTCACCAAACTAATATTCAGGAAATTACTTTTAAAGTACTCTCTCATCATGGAAATCAAATGTCTTATAACATAGAACATACAAACAATTCCTAACAGTCTCTAAACATAAAAAAAAGACTGCTTAACCAATTCTACTTGAATGCTCATGTTTTCATATTTTATTATCTCCTAATACTAGAAGAACAAGTTGTAGAAATTTCTACATCTGCTTATTTTATTTTGCATTAGACTGAAGATAATAAGAAGGAAAAAGAGGAGTAAGTTCAACACTACTCTGATAACAAAAAATGAAACTAAGTAGAGATTATTTCTTAATCACTTGTGAATGTTTTCCATTTTTTTCAGATTCTGGCAAAGATAAAAAAGTTTTAAAAGGAATTTTCTTTTACAAATTGGAAAGTCCTTAATATAAACTATAGAAAATTTGTAAGAAAGGAAAAATCAGTCAACATAGTGAACTAAATCAGAGCTAAATGTCAATTACTTTCTTAAAGAGTCTTAAGTGTGCCAAATTATTTATCACTTACTTTTGGTGTCTCACTTCCATTTTCATTTTCTGCTTTGGTGTCCTATCCCCATGACGTATAACTGCTATAACACACCTAAGTTCCATCCTGAAAGAGAAAAATATGTGCCAAGCTTCATAAATCTAAAATTTACATCACAAATTTTAGGTTTAAACAAGTTATGTACATATATTTAGAGCTATTAAATGTTAAAGTGGAAGATGATCCCCAACACATCTGAAAAATGTTACTTAACTATGGAAAATGAGACATTAAGCTACACAAGAATACTTTTGCACTTCTCCCAATGAAGTAATTTTTCAAGAAGAAGGTGATCTTGAGAATTCACTTGGATTTTAAAGTTAAAAAAAAATTAAGGTACAAGACGACCTCGGATCACAATGAAATCTGTTAAATAGAGATTATAATGAAGTTAAAATGTATGAGGATGAAGAAAAGTTGCATTTGAAAATTTGCAATTTTACTTGAGTAGCAATAAGAAGTATTTATAAGTTTAACAGTCAAAGAGAAAAGTTTTTCAAATGGTATATACCTAATTTTAAAAAGTCAAATTTATTCTATTACGTAGTGGAACTTGTGTTGTTCTAGTCTGAGATGTCCTATCATCCCAACACCAATATAGTCAACACACTCATGCCCAATATACTCTACTACAACAGCAAAATATATACCTTTAGTTGGGGTACCTAATTTGTTCTAAACCTCTACCTACCACCTATCCTTTGCTCTAAAACTACAGGAATAGTAACTCATCAACTATGTATTTCCCAGTATTTTAGATTTTAACAATAATAGTTGATATTTATATAATGCTTAGAGGTTCAAAAAAAGGTCTTATGTACACAGTCTCATTTGAATATCAACCAAGTGCTACAGATTATCATCATCATCATCCCCATTTTAAAGATGAGAATGGGGTTCAGAAGTTAAGTCTACTTGTCCAGGCTTACCCAGCTAGTGTGACATTTGTCAAAGATCGCATTTTTAACCTAGATCTTCTTGACTTCAAATCCAAGTACTCTATCCTTTGCGCCATATTGTCATGGAACCACAGAATTTTAAATCTCCACATTTAAAAAAACTCAGAGGGAAACTACTGCTTTTAACTTTAAAAATTCATTGTCATTGTGACAATTCAAACTAATACTGGGGAAGCAATAAATAATAAAAACTTACATAGTTCCAGATGTTGTTGGTACAATTGGGATATCTTCAGCTTCTAACGGTATTGACCAGGGTATCTGAAATTGTGGAGCAAGCTCTCGCATTATAATGTTGCTTTAAAAAAAGAGACAAAATAAAACAATATATTTATATCTCAAAATTGGACCTAGAACACTATAAAAATGTCAGTATTCTAAAAATTCTTATCAAATTGCCATTTACAGAAACTCTTCAAAATTTGAGAAATTTGCTCCCCAAAATCTTGTTCCTTACATACATGGTTTAAACTACCTTAGTTTAAGATGTCTACTGGATATCCAGTTTGAGATTTCTGAAAGGCAGCTAGAGATGTAAGACTGGAGAAACAATACGGTATCTAAACGACCAGAAACTTTATACTTACTGTATTATACACACATCTTACACGTTGTAAAGTTTGTGGGATGGGGTGGAGGGAAGGAAGGGAATGCCTTTTTTATCTTTGCATCTCATGTTGCATGTGCTTATTGATTTAAAAAATAAGTGTTCATAAAATCAGTAAATATTTAATTAGGATTATCTGATTTTTTATTATGACTTAGTTTATAAATCAGTGGTTACTTATTCTAAGTGTTAAAATAACACTACCAGTTCACCATCAACTCATAAAAGCTACTCCAAATTTTACAATGCTGCTGGTTTCATTCTTAGTCAAAATGGCATCTGAAAATATTAAAAATAGAAAAAACTAACTCTGAGCAGTTTAAAAAGTGCACCACATATTTTTTACCACTTGCAAATACTTAAACATTACATTTTGTAAATACCCTAACTTTTATGACAAGATTCAACAGCTTGATATCAAAGATGTGCTTCTTAACTAATTTTATCTGTTAATTAAACATATTTAACCTACAAATGAGAAGCCGCATGGATTAGCAGATAGAGGACTGGCCTAAGAGTCAGGAAGAAAGGGTTCAAGTTCTAACTTGAATCCCATTGCCTATGTAACTATGAGTGAGTCACAACCTCTATTATCCAGGTAACTTTCTAAGACTCTAAGTTGCTGCTCTGAATCAGTGAGAGGGAGTTTTCCATTAACTAATTAATTTGACAAGCATTAAAAGATGCCTACTATTTTCCTTTCAGGCACTATACTGAGTGTTTTTGTTGTTGTTCACTTTGGATTTGATTGTGAGACATAGGAGACACTGGCAAAGGACTGCCCAACATGGTGTGCCAATATCAAAGAAGGCACTGTGCTCTATGAGTAAAGCAGAATTTCAGTAGCTCACAAGAAATGCGAAATGTGCAAATTTAGAGACATTTCCACTTCAAATGTTTTTACAGACTATCTGTGCCTGACGTTTGGTAGAGCTTCCCAACCTTCAATTGGTCTGAACAGCCACAGTCAGATACTATACCTTGACCTCCACAAAGTGATGTCATTCTGATCCTCTTGGAGTATGAAGGACAACAACCAACAACAACCAACCACACAGTGTTAGGAATACAAATAAGAAAATGAAACATCTACTTCCAAAGTAGCCTATACTCTACTAGGGGGAGGGAGGGGGCAAACTGTGGGGAAGAAAATATAAGATGGATAAGAAAATATACCCAGAGTAATTTTTGAGGGGAGGACCCTAGCAACTGGAAGGATTAGGTCAGGCTTCATGTAGGAGCTACCATTTCAGGTCTTGAAGGAAGGTAGGGATTCTATGAAGCAGAGGGGAAAAGGGCACTCCCATTTCAGAAGAGGAGAGATTCAGATTGGTTATCAAGATCGCCTCCATAGAAATGATAACTGAACTTATGGAAGCTCACTAAATGAAATCATTAAGCAAGAGAATATAGAAAAAGGAAGATCCAGGGCAAATTTTTGGAAGACACTCACAGTTATTGAGAATTACATGGATCTTAAGAGTCAGTGAAGGAAACTGAGAAATAGCCAGGATAACCAACAAAAAAGCAGAGAGAGATAGAGAAAGAGAGCACCCAGGAGGAAAAAATGGTCAACAATGTCAGAGAAGTCAAGAAGCGTAAAGACTGAAAAAGGGTCACCAGATTTGGCAATTAAGAGATCACTGGTAACTTTCATTCATTCAATTAAAAGAGTAGGTCAGAAACTAGATTTAAGAGAGCTTAGAAGACTAAGAGTGCAATATAGTTGGGGTTTTTTTCCAAGGAGCTTAGTTGAGAAGGAAAAAAAAAAACCAATGAGAGATGATGAGCACAAATGGAAATATGGGACAAATGCAAAAAGATACAGAGCTAGAATCAACAAAACTTGGCAAATGATTAAGTGAATCAGAAAGAAAGGAAGAATAGGTATTATTGCAGGGTGGTTAAACTGGGTTTATTAAATCAGCCATCTACCACTGTCCCTGCAGCAGGCTAGGCTATGATTTTTTTTTCAGCTAAAAGGCAAGGAAAGTACCCCTGAGAATTGATTGGTCCATAAGGTTCTAGCCATAGATATGGATACTTAGTTGCCTGAGGGCACTGAGGAGAATAACATATAAGGAGGCAGTGATCTTTAGAGGTGGTTCCAGGGCCAAGAAAATCATTACACCCAGAGCTGCTGAGAAGATAGTTCCCTCTATGGAAACGAGGCTGGGGGGTGGGGTGTGTGTGTGTGTTTGCATATATCTGAATCAAGTGCTGTATCATTTCCATGTTGCGATTAAGTAAACTTTTTATTAACTAATAAATGTTCTCTGGGGCACAGCTAAGTCAGCAAGTGGAGGGGCCTGGAGTCAGAAGACTCCTCCTGAGTTCACATCCTGCCTTAGACAATTACTAACTATGTGACCATGGGCAAGTTACCTTAACCCTGTTTGCCTAACTTTCCTCATCTGTAAAATGAGTTGGAGAAGGAAATGGCAAAACGCTCCTATATCTTTGCCAAGAAAACCACAAGTGGGGTCATGAAGAGTCGGACACAAGTGAAAAACAACTAAACAACAAATGTTCCCTGAATCTCTTAAGTCTCAAACTTAAATGACCATACTAGCTTGAGGCAGGCCTGGCCTGTTGTTACTCTGGATAACAACAAATGGATAACAGGAAAGATGATAGTACCTAGACAGAAATAAGGAATTGGGTGGAGGTGAGGAAGAGTTGGGAGAAAAGATAAAAACTGCTTTGGATAAGCTGAGTTTAAGATACCTAAGTGGAAGTCTAATACACAGTTGGTAATGGACTCCAGTGGCATTCATGAGAGAGATGAAAGGTAGACCATAGCTGAATACAGGGGAACTGATGAGATTATTAAAAAAACAGAGAAGTGGGCCCAGGACAAAGCTAAGGCAAGCTTTAACTGCATTAAAAGAATCATAACTTACAGGAACAAAGAGATGATAGTGTCTCTGTATACTTACATATAAGTGGCAAAACATGGATGATCCTGCAAAGGAGACTGAGAAGTATCAGTCAAATAGGTAGAAAAGCAGGAGCAGTGACATGAAAACTAAGGGAAGAATAAGTCACCAGAAGACAGGAGAAGTCAACACCTCAAATGCTTTGGAGAGGCCAAGAATGGGGGAAAAAAACAAAGAAAGACCAACCAAACATTGGATTTAACAAAACATAGGTAACTGATGACTGGGAGAGGGCAGATTTAATTGAGTGGTAAAGACAGAAGCCATACTGCAATGTGTTGAGAAGTTTCTAGCTCAGTGTTCTTCACATAGCAGATACATAATTTTATTTAATTGAATTAAAAATTTTAAAGTATCAAAATAAAATGAATTACATTTCATATTAAATGAAATTTCACTATTAAAGGATTCTTTCTGTATCCTGCAGTACCTCAAAGTAATCATTATAAAGATCAATTTAATACAGCATGCCAAAAATCATTCTTGTTGAGTTTTCCAGTTATTAGTTAATTGAATAAATGGCAGTATACTGTAACATTAGTTATATTTAAGAGGGGAAAGGGATGAATGAAAATACAACACATTCTTACCCAAGTATTTTTGCACAGTCATCATAATATTTCATAGAATTCTTCACAAAACTGAAGCCATTGACATCACAGACATAGGATTGTCCATTGGCACGTAACAAATCAAAGCCACAAACCGTTTGCTATTAAAATTAAATTTAAAACTCTGAGCTCAAATGTTACAATTCTAATAACAAACAGAAACATTTTCATTAGTAGTAGATTCCTACCTTCATTTCGGTAAGTTCAAAATCTTGTGATAACACCACAAGCAGTGAAGCTCAAACATACTTCATAAAATTATTTACTTGCCATTTCAGGGGAAAAAATGCTTATCTGCAATTTAGGTTAGTAAATTTTTACTCTATGATAATCCTTGTACATTAATGGATATAGAATAATGAACCTTAAAGCCTGTTTTGGCTAGCATGATCCACAAAAGTTAATTAGGAAATATTTTAAAATGTTTAGTGAAAGTTTTTTTTAAAGACATACTGAGTAATGGAGAAGCTTTTAATTATTATCTAAAAAGAAATTTTTAGAGTAACAAATCTCAGGATGAGCAGCATTTTATGGAATCTTAAAGTTGGAATGGGCTTCAGAAGTCACTACAGCCCATTACCTACTAAATCATTCCATTCCTCTTTCAGACAGTATTGAATTGCTAGCATGTTTTCTTATGTTATGCTGCAAAGTTATCACTTTCTATCTTCTAGCTTACTAGGGACAAACAGAATAAATCTAACACTTGTTCCACATGATAGCCCCTTAAAACACTTTGAGGTGGCTAATCATTTTCTTTCTCACTTCATCCCAGGTTACCTCCTCTCTAGAATAAATATTCTCAATTCCTTTAACCAATCCTCACATGAAATGATCTCCAGGTCTTTCATTGCCTGCTGCTCAATGGCATAAAGAGTTATAAAATTTTAAAATTAGGAGGGAATTCAATGGTCATCTAGTCTAAACTAGAGAAAAAAGACTACAATAGGTGGTCCATCTAGCTTTTACTTTAAGACCTCCAGGGAGAAGGTACTCACTACCTCCTGAGGTAGCCTGTTCAACTTTTAGAAAGTTCTAGTTGTTAGGATATTTTTTTTTTCCTGACAGCTACCCTAATTTGCCTCTTTGCAAATTCTATCTATTGCTCATAGTTCTGTCCTTTGAGGCCAAGTACAATTATAGTCTCTCTTCCAGGTGACAGTCCTTAAAATATTTGAAGACAGCTACCATGTTGCCCTGGAGTCTGATCTTCCATAAGCTAAATGCCCTCAGTCTCTTCATGTGGCACTTGAGAGTTCCATCCAAAGGGGAATAAACACCTGATGTGATCACATGTCATTATTACCTCTGGGGAACTGGAGTAGACAGAAAAGCATGAGTTCATTCTGAGGGGAGGAATTTCCTGCTCTTCTATGTTGCCGGATCAAATTTCATCCAAGTTTGGCATGCTTTTAGTTAAAGCTTCTTTTGTAATCATAAGAATACAGGTATATTTATATAAAGCTACTATCATTTGTCCTTAGCATAACAAATGTAAAATAGTTGCTGAAATGGCAGAATGAAAAATTTCAACTCCTTAGAGTTAGGCTAATTATTTGCTTAGCAAATAGAAATTTTAGCCCAACTCCTACCTGAAGCATCATAAATACTGAGTAAGAAGGGTCCAAGTTAATAAGGTTCCATGAAAAATAGAAAGAAGAAGAGGTAAAGGAATTGATGACATTAACAAGAGCTTTTGAAATATTAATAAGCATATTGTTCATGGGTGAAGCATCCATGTTTCAATTTATGTAACCATTTACAACTCTAAATACCCATCCCAATTAAAAAATGTTATTACAAAATATTCACGAACTGAGATTCTGCATGTTTTTAAATGTTTCATTCTATTTTACCTTAAATGCAAGGCAGACTTTCCAAGCAATTAACTTCTCTCTAGCATTGAGGATAACAGGGTATCTGACTTCCTTCCCTTCACTATCCCGTTCTACTTTGCCATCAAGTGCAGGGGATTTCCGTGCTTCAGCATGGGCATAATCTGGACCTACTGTGTATACCTTTAGAAAATATTAGGGAAAAAATCAGTGGATAACAAGCTTATAGAAACAATCAACAACAAAAACTAGTGCAAAACAGCTGCTCCCTACACAACAGACATGCTTCTGAAAAATCACAAGTAAATCAAATTTCATCATAAATACACAGGGAAGCTTGCTATTTAAAGTAACTTTAAAATGAAGTGAAGCATGGCAGCCCCTGATTTATATACCTAGGCTTCCTAAATAAATATACAAATGGCTAAATACACATAATTTAAGGACAACACTCCAGATTTTCTCACTTCTCCCTCCTTCTGATAGGCTAGTCTTTAGGAAAAAACGGGGAAACTAACTTTCACATTTTCCTTTCTCTCCCAATTCTACCCACGGCTATTCAGTCAAGTGTGGAACATGCCTAGACCCCTATCCAATATCCTAACACCTAAGCTGGAGGGTCCTCTGCTGTTTTTATATACTGAAGTCTTCACTCTAGTTCCTATGGAAAATATAGACAGAATCAGTGGAAACGTGGGCTTTGCACCTGCCCCCAACATTAACTATCTGTGTGACTGTGAACAAACCTTTTTAACCTTTTTGAGCCTCAGTTACTCCACATATGTAAAAAGGAGATGAGAGGATTACAAAATTCCCAAAACGGAAGGGACTTCACCTTCAGGTCATCCCATTCAACTTATACCTTTAAAAAAGACTTCTCCCCTCCCCCCCACAATACACCCAATAAGTAGTTATGAAGTTTTAGTACAAAGATCTCAAGTGAAGAGTAAGTCAGTACCTTTGGAGGAAGCCCATTCCATTTACAGATAGCTCTAACTGTTAAGATTTTTTTTTCTGACATCAAGCCCAATTCTGCCTCTTTACAGCTTCTCCCTATTGTGTCTATATATCTGCCCTAAAGAGCCACTCAGAATAAGTACAATTCCTCTTCCACATGAGAGCCTTTCAAGTACTTGAATATAGCTGTCATGTTACCCCTGAACCTTCTCTTCCCACAGATACTTTTTTCTGTTGTTCCTCATATGGCATCAACTCAAGGTTTTTACTTTACTATTTGTCATTAAGGCAAAGTGCTGGGAAAATGTATGGATCCTCTTGGTTTCTCTCAAGATTTAGCTCAAATCCCACCTTCTGCAGAAGGCCTTTCCCTGCTCCCAATATTGTAGACCAGGGCTTCTTAAACTTTTTCCACTTGAGATTCCTTCAGCACTTCTTAAACTGTGGGTCTCCACCCCATATGGTGTCCCACAGTTCAAGACAAAGATGAACTTATGGGGTCCCCAAGCTGAAAGTATGAATACATTTTCTTCACAGAGATGTTGTTACACATGTTGGTTAGTTATATTATATCCATTAGTAGAGTATTATAAACACATCAGTTACAGTATAAATTTTGTGGGTTACACTGATAAACTAACCACCATATAATAACACTGTTTCTGTGGGAGAAGTTCCAGAGAATTTAGCTAAAAAAAACACTTCTGGTATATTTGCTGTTCATAATTTAGATGCTGCATATAATGAACCTTAATTTGCCTTATGCAAAAATGTATTTTCATCTAAAAAAGTGAGAAATCTCTATGTGAAAAATCCTATTTACAAAACATTGTCAGAGTGCTATTTACTTTAAAAAAAAGACTTCTTTGATTTAAAAACAGCAATTTAACAAACATTTAAAATATGATTTAATTCAAATTCAATTTATAGAACTTAGGTAAAATTAAGGGCTCATAAACTTTAAATTTTGATGCTAGATATGTAAATGTGCTCATGTGATACAAAAGAAAAATTATGAAGGTTTACATCATTTGACAATTTTTTAAATGCCATAATAATGCTACCTATCTGACAGTACAGTGAATTCAAGGTACCAAATAAGATATACATTTTTGGACACGGCAGATGTATGAATTTGTTTTGCTTCACTTGTCTATTTGTTACAAGCAGTGTGTATATATTTTCTAAATTGGGGGATCAAAGAAGATAGTTATAGGGTTGCCAAAAAAAAAAAGGAAGAAAAAAAGGTCATTAAAGCATTTTTCTTAAAAAATGTACAGAAAGAAACAGACAAGCAGAATAACTCTGCAAGTACCATACTGAATTTATAATATACTTAAAAAACATGCTTGACATAACAGAAATTTGTATTTTCACATATAATCTTCTGTTTCTGCTCAGTATACTATGTATATAAACATGTTTTTTTCCTGTGTTCAATTAAATTCAGAATTCTTTGAAAAAGCAATAGTGCTGAAAAATACACTTTGTAAACATATTTGATCCTCAAGCAACAAGTTAGGTTTATGTGCCCAAATGTTCACATTAATGATATTTCCTCTAGTGGTTAATTTATGAGATATAGCCTAATTCTTAAAGCACTTAGATGAAGGTACAGTACTAATCCATATTTCTATCAGTCAGTCTTACCTTGACATCAGTGCCATCTGTAGGCATGAACTCCTCATAAATGTATGAGCCTGTTTTTCTCACACAGCTTTCTGGGGAGTACACACTACTTCTGCTTCCAATCTAAAATGAAAATTTTCTATCAAATACACAAACTTCTAGAAGAGTGCTTTCCATTTGTGCTAGTTCAATAGTCTCTCTTTTTCTTCTTAAAGTTGTTTAAAAAGATTTTTCAAATATCAATATTTGGTAGGTAAGAATATTAAGCTGTGATAAATTTAAATACTATTCAGATTTTATCACAGGAATTTATTAAGATATCAGTTTTATTAATTTATTAATTTCTCACAGAACTAAATTTTATAACTCTATTTTGTAATTTTATTATATAGTATAAAATTATAGTAGGCCACTTAAAAACATATATAATAGTTACACATCCAAAGTCCAAAAATATTTGTTCACTGAGATATCAGAGTCTTACCTTCCTAAAGAGCCTTTGGCTTCCACCTCCAGCAGATGTTGGATAATAAATGTAAACATTGTGATCCTCAGCACTGAGGGGTTTTTCTACAAATGGCTTTTGGAAAACTTCCCCATTTACTTCTACTTGATCCTCCCCTTCAATCAGATTGCATTCTGTAATACCAAAGATAAAATAAGGATACTTTGCATTTTAGTAAAATACTTTCATACACATGATCTCATTTAATTCTCCCAACCATCCTGGGAGGTCAAGTAATCGATGATCCTCATTTTACAGAGGAGGAAACTGAGATTTAAAGAAATCAGGTGGCTTGCCTAAGGTCATAAGGGGAATAGATATACCAGAGAAAGGATTAAAACCCAGCATCGATCCAAACCCAGCTCTCCTTCTGCTACACCATACTACTTATTAATAAAGTAACACAAGTGTGTGCTCACAAAAACAAAACAAAAAACTTACCTGCATAGATTCCACAGAACTGAAATTGGGTTTCTGAAATAATTTCAGGTTAACATAGTAATAAAATACTGAACTGCTATGCTTCATAAAAGGCCATAAGCAAAATATCAGGTTACATACATATTAGAGACATATTACATACATATAAATTTAAATGAAGCAGCTATTGGTCTGTTCATTTTAGCTAAAAAAAGTTTTGCATACAGAAATATACACTTGATGATAAAATATTCCCATCAGAAACAGTTTTGGTTGTTGTGCCTTACTAAGTGCAGTGAAAGTACTTTAGCACCCTACCATGACCTTTTTATCCAAATAGAGTTGGATAAAAGAGTTACTCTAAATGAAAGTGCAAACCATCTCAGGAAGTGGCTTCCCTTTGACACACACAAGGGACTGCTAATCTTGGATATCACACAAAACAGTACTATTTAGCTAAAAAAATTAAAAAACACCAATGCCCCTTCCCCTCCTACAAGTCTATTAATTAAGAGGTATTATTTGAGTCCTCTAAATGACAGAAACAATTTAGAGCTTGACAAAATCCTAAGTATAACAAAGTATCTCAAGAGAAAAATAGAACAAAGTCAGTAACAGGCTACAAAACTTTTAATTGAATCCTTTTACTATGGTGACTTCTGGTCCGTCTGTCCCCCCCCACTCTTCTTTATGTCTATTTCACTGTTTTATACTAAATGTCATACTTAAAGTCCCAGGAAATTGCAAAAACACTCAGTAAAGTTTAATTTTAAACACTGCAGTTGGCTTTTATCCTCAAGATTGGAATTAGCTCCAATTAAGTCATCAAAACTCTTAATAAAAATGAACATACTCAAAGAAAAAAAAATCTGAAGTTTTGGAAAGGGATTCAAATAACATTTGGAGCTTCCTTAGTGGAATGAAATACATGGGTGGAATTCTTAATGAAGGCTAAGTGCAAATAATCAAGTTGTAAATAAGTGGCAAAATACCCTTTGAGGGAACCGCAAGTCTGTTAGTTAAGTAGAACACTTGAGTAAATCTTCACCCTATCGAGTAGAAGAAAAATAGTTGTGATTTACAATTACAGGCATTGCTTTGTGGGGGAATTATGTGCTTAGCAGAAGGACTAGGGCATTCTGGAGGGTTCCCACCCAAAGTACTGACTGTTGCTACCATTTATGACCAACTGAAAGTCTACTGTTGATCATCATCCAGTGCCTTCCTTGAGGACCATCACATCTTCAAATTCGCTCTGGGTGTGGAAATGGGAAATTAAGCAGTTACTGACTTCTGCTCCAAATAAATACCCCCCAAGTCAAACAACTATTTTAGACTAGAAGGAAGATTGGTTTGAATGGCTGAATTCTCCTGTGACCAGACCAACTGCTGCAGCATGGTGAGTGTTAGGAGACAATTTGCTCATGACAAAATTCTCTTACCTTGGGGATTATTTGGATCTCGGTTTAAAATTGCATAACGAGGAAGTAAAATACCTTCAGCTTGAAGAATACTATAAACTTCTCTCCTAAGGAAAAAGAGAAAAACACTTTCATATTGTAATAAGCTCAACAGTACTAATAATAATCTGTTGCTTAATGGAAGAACTATCAGTAAGCTATCTTTTCTGAGATTTTGATAAATATGCACCATGAATATTATCATTAGTTTGGAGAGCGAGTACTTTTAGACAGTTAAGTTTTAACTTAAAAACTAAAGGAAGTTAAAAAAAAAGGAAAGCAAGATACTGGTAAAATAACAAGAGTATCAGAGTAGGATTTTAGTCAAAATCAACTAGTTCAAATTTTTTTAATCTTATGTTGAGGCTAAATATAATTTAATAATTATTAAAATACAGGTTTCTTTATTATTAAAAATAACTCTCAAGTTCTACTATAACAGGAAAAGTAAGAGAACTATAGTTAGATTCATTTACAGAATAAGAGATTTAGAGATAGAAGGGCTCTTTTTTTTTTTGTGTTGAGTCATTTCAGTCATGTCCTACCCTTCTTGATCCCATCTGGGGTTTTCTTGGCAGATACTAGAGTAGTCTGCCATTTCCTTCTCCAGCTCATTTTACAGACAAGGAACTGAGGCAAACAGGGTTAAGTGACTTGCTCAGGGTCACAGATAGTATTTAGACATTTGTCTGAGGCCAGATTTGAACTCAGGTCCTCCTGACTCCATGGCCGATACTCTACCTCCTGTACCACCCAGATGCCTACTAAGAAGGGATTTCAGAGACCATTTGGTCCAATCCTCTCATGCTGGAAACTGATCCAACAGGCACAGTAACTTATTCAAGATCACACAGAGTAATAAGTAGCAGAAATGCAATCAGAATCGAATAACTTTAACTGCAGAACCAATATACTCCCTCTCAGAAAGGACCTCAGAAACCATTTAGTCTGTTCTTATTTTACAAATGAGGAAACTAAGGCCTACTGCTTCTAAAATAGAGATCACATGCTATATACATGAACTGCAAGGGAAAATCCAAGACTGTCATAGAAGCAGAACCTCCAAGTCACAAGGGACCTCAGAGAACATCAAATCCAACCCTGATCTGAAGCCCCAATCACCTTATAGGATTTCTGAGATTGTCAATCAAGTCTCTACATTTGATGCTCAACACATTCTCAGCTCCCTTGGTGGTCTCTTCCCTGTGATGGGAGTGCTTCATGAAGGTGAAGCAATAAACTCCTCCCAGAGTTCTCCTTTATGGAGGGCTCAGAACTTTCCGGGCTCATTTTCCATCAGTGGCTCTGCTTGGTCTCAACTCCATGAACATCATGCTCCCCACTCTGGATAACCCTTGGGGGCCCTCTCCACTCTTCAGGTTCATTCTGTATACAATCTTCCCCCATTAGACTGTGCACTCCTTGAAGGCAGAGACTAACTTTTTTTTTCTTATTTGTAAACCTAAGGCTTACTACAGTGCCTGGCACATAGTAGTGAGAAGATAGTGTTGCCCTCAACAGTGATAGGGAAAGTAGGAAGGAGAGAGGGTTTAGGGGGGAAAGATAATGTTCTGTTTCGGATATATTGAGTTTAAGACGTCTGAAAGGCAGTTGATATAAGAGTGGAGGTCAATGGAGAGACTGGGGCGGGAAAGGCAGATTTGAGAATCATCAGCATAGAGACAGTAATTAAATCTATGGGAGCTGATGAGATCCCCAAGTGAAGTAATATAAAGGGAGAAAAGGACCTAGGCCAGAACCCTGAGGAACATCTATGCTTAGAGGGCATGATCTGGAGGAGAATTCAATAAAGGAGACAGAACAGAAGTAGTCAGACAGGTAGAAGAAAAACTGGGAGAAAGTAGGTTCCTGAAAACCTAGAGAGAAGAAAATACAGAGAGTGATCAACAGCATCAAAAGCTGCAGAAAAGTCAAAGAGAATGAAAGCTGAGAAAAGGCTATTAGAGTTAGCAACTGAGAAAATATTAGTAACTTTGGAGATAGCAGTTTCAGTGGAATAACGTAGGAAGCCAGATTGTAAGAGGTTAAGAGAGGGAGAAAAGAGAGCAGGGGCAGCTATTGTAGATGGCCATTTTGAGCTTAGCTACAAAGGGCAGAAAAGAAATAGGATAATGGTTATCAGGGACAGAAGGATCAAGTGAGATTTTTAAGGATAGGGGAAACATGGGCATATTTGTAGGCAACAGGAAATGAACCAGCAGACAGGGAGAGATTGAAAATAACTGAAAGAGTGGAGATGACAGAGGGAGCAATCTGCTGGAGGAGATGGGATGGAATAGCAGCACTTGAACAAGCAGAGAGGTTAACTTTGCTAAGGAGCAAGGTGATTCCACCATGTGAAATGGATGAAGGAAGACAAAGTGGCAGAAGGTACTTGGATGATAGGAGGTGAGGACGAGGGGGAGAGAGGGAGTTCACAGCAAATGGTCTGAATGTTTTCTGTAAAATAGAGGGGAGGAGGGAGCCATAAGAAGTTTGAAGAGGGATGAACAGGTTTGGAAGAGCTATTTGCAAAGTGGAATAGTGAGTTGATAAGGGAGATATAGTAGGACTATCTAGCTGCAGTGAGGGCCGAACTGAGTAAATTTGCAGAAGACCCAATCATAGGGGCTGCGTGATTTTCTCCACTTTTGTTGAGCAGCACCTGTGTAAGCACAAAAGTGATGAATGGTAGGAGTGAATTAAGGCTTAGGCTTTGTCAAAGCACGATCAGCAAAAAAGGGTAGTAGGGATTCAAGAGAGGAAGACAGCATAGAGCTGAATTGGTTCACTAAGGACTCAAGATGAGGTAAGAAAAGAGAATGGCTAGTGCAGGGGGGATAGCTTGGGAGAGAACTGAGGGGTCAAGGGATTGCAGGTCACAGTGCAGATGAAAAATAGGGACATGTAAGGGAAGGCAGAGGGAGAAGTGAAAAGCCTCTGATGAGAGGATTTCAGAATTCTTGAACATGGAACATTTGTGTGTGATGACAAGATCAGGTATGATCATCTTTGTGTGTGGTTTAGGTACAATAAAGGAGTAGCTCGTGGGAGGTGAGTAGGCTGAGGAATTGAACAGTTAGGGTATTTAAGGGTGAATCAATATGTATGTTGAAGTCCCCTGGTATGAAGGCAGGAACAGGGGAAGACAGAAAAATTGTAAGCCAGGTAGCAAACTCCTTCTTGAAGAAAGAAGGGGAGTCACCTGTTGTGTGTATATGGAGGGAGGGAGGAAAGGTCTGTAGACAACAGCTATCACCATTTTAATTGAGTAGTAGACATGAATGCCATGCACCCCAAAGGAAGAGAGGTTAACCTGAGTGAAGTAAAAAGGAGAAGTGGCAAGGTTATTTCAACTCCCCTGCTTCAACCAGTGAGCCAAGGAGAATGAGTGAAGGTGCAGCCAGAACTGGAAAAAGGTGGCCAAGGAGAAAGCTAGGTTTCAGTAAAAGACAGGAGGTGGAAAGAATAGAATAGACTTAAGAAGAAAGGAAATTTGTTGAGAGAGCACGGTGGAAGGGCATGCCTAGGTGGAGTTAGGATGAAACTCTGGGGTGGGAGGGTTGAAGGGGGATGGGAATGAGGAATTAGGTGGTAGGGGTAGTGGAATGAGGTTTGGATGATGATCAGCATGACTTCAGAGTCACTGAAATGAGACGGGCATGACCAGGTGTGAGAATATTCATCACTGAGTGGAGGGTACCATTCCTCTACCCTCAAAGGAGAGATACAGCTGGAGATGGCAGCCCTGAAGTCAAAGGAAAGTTTGTCCTTTTTTGCACCGGAGTTTTGCAGGCTCCACCGGGGAGACTGGGAGATGGAAGATGGCTTGTTCTGGTACAGATGGAAGATGCCTGACCTGGCCCCTAGCAGCTTTTCCTCAGGGGCCAAGCTGTGCTCAGCGGGAGACGGAAGGCTCAGGATGCCAGTGCACCAAGGTATAAGATCTTCTCACCTGAGGAGGTTGGCTACAAGGTGGCAGTAGGAAGTGGGAGACTCCTCATGCAGATGAAAGATGCCCAGTCTGGCTCCTAGGAGTCATTCTTCAAGGGACACACTGTGCCCTAGCTTATTTCCCTCTCTATTTCCAAAGATTTACTTCTTGTCCCCACCATAGATAAAAGCCCTCTTTTCTTGTTCTTGTTATTTTTCACAAGCCCTTTGGGATAGGAGCCCTTGCTCCTATCCTGCATCACCAGCTGCCATTCTTAATCTTAAACTCAGTATGTTGAAAAGAGAATTCATTATCCCTGTCCCCACCCCCCCCACCTTTTTCAGGTACATTTGTAACCTCAGTTCCATCCTACACTATCTATTCTCACTCACCCTACAAACCCAATCTGTTGAAAAATCTTGCCATTTCTTCCTATATATCATTTTTCTTACACATTCCCTTATCTCAACATGGTTACCAGTCTAAGTCAGGCCCTCACCACCTCTTACCTAGACTACTGCAATAATCTCTTAAAAACGGTCTCCCTGCCTCCAGTCTCTCCTCACTCTAATCTGTTCTTTGCATAGCAGCCAAACTGATTTTTAATAAAGCACATGTCTGACCATGTCATTCCCCCTATTAAAATCCAGTCCCTTTCTATTATCTCTAGGATCAAATACAAACTTCTCTGGCATCTTTACAGTCTGCTCCCATTCAACCTTTCTAGTCTTATTACACATTACTGCTTTGTACACACTCTGTAATACAGACAAACTGGTTTTCTTGCTGTTTCTCACACAAGGCACAGCACCTTCCATTTCCATGCTTCTGTGCCCCCTAAAAAGCATTCCCTTCTCTCCTCTGTTTCTTGGAATCTCTGGTCTCCTTTAAGACTCAGCTCAAGTAACACCATCTGCACAACACTCTTCTTGGTCCTCACAGTTGGTACTGGCTCCTTTCAACCTTTCTTCCCAGGTTTCTCGTAAATGTTTTGTATGCCTATAGAAATATAGTGTCCCCCATATTTAGAATGTAAGCTCAAGGGTATTTTTATCTTTATGTTTCTAGAGACTTGCACAGTTCCTGGCACATGAAGCACCTATCTTTTATACTTGCAGATCTTCCTTATTTTTCAGGATATAAGAAACTGCTTCAACCTCAGAGGATCTAGATTCTCTCTTCATGAAATCTTATAGTTAACATAGTTTCAATGGTTTAACAGTCTTTTTCTTTCCTATTCCTATTTCCTATTCCAGTCCCTAATTTCCTATTATGTATTACATACATCTAAGTCTTTTTCTTATTCCTTTTGTTCTTAAATTAACCCAAGATTTGACTTCAAACTCAGTACTGTTTTCTAGTGAGTTCTTTTTGACTCCAACCTTATTAGTCCTTATATTGTTACCTGCCATATGCCAAGGCTCCATATCAGGCTTTCAATATCAGCTTCTCTCTTTCGTCTCCTGCTGTCTAGAATAGTGCCTATCATGAGCAACTTTCTGCAGAATGCTCCTACAGAATTAATTCTAAACCCACTTATTCTTCTCTCCAGCTGTAAACCCACACTGGATGCTCCTGAATTTTCTCTATATCACAATGTCATCATAGGGACTATTTACTTAAACAAGAGTAAACTTTATCAGTGCTTTTAATTGTACAAAAGTGACTTAATTATATTATTTACCTGTCTTGTATACGATATTGCATATTCAAGTCATTGATCACAAATGGGTTCCTGAGTTTTGCATAGGCAACTGCTTTGTCCAGTGGAAATCCTAAGATTTTTAAGAACATGGTATTAATAACATTACTAACAATATTAATATAAAATGCTATTTTTAAAAGATAAAGACACATGAAACCTTATACATGATCCTTAAGTAGAGTCAGAAGGTATAAAGATCTTGATGGGTTAGAGCTTTGGGATCAATTAGCTTAAGTCGAAAGTCTTATACTTAAGTAAACATCCAATTCACTAGGAAAAGATGGGAGGGTCTTGGCTAGATCACAGACCTTCAAAAATATCTGGACATTTAAATGGACTGCAAGTTTGATATAAATGGGCAGTAACACCCTAACAGCAAAAAAAGCTAATGTGAAGTGGGGAAGAAATGAGGGGCATAACTTCAAGAAACAGAGAGGTAATCATTCCACTGTACTTTGCCCTTGTCAGACTTCATCCAAAGAACTGTGTTTATTTCTGAATGCCACAGATTAGGAAGGACATTAATAAACTGGAGAGTGTCCAGGGGATAAAGGGTTTTAAGTGAGGATCAATTGAAACAATTGGGCATATTTAGCCAGAATAAAATACACCTTGGGGAGGGTGTCATAATAGCTGTCTTCAAATATTTGAGGGGCTGCCTTATGGAGGAGGGAAGAGACTTATTCTGTTTGCCTCTAGGGGGCAGCACCAGAAGCAATGAGTGGAGGCTGCAAAGGGGAACATTTAGACCTTAATGTCAGGAGAAACTTCCTAAAAGTGAGAGTTGCCCAAAAACCTTGAGAAGGGATGGGCTCCCCTCAGCAAGGATATTTATACACAGTCTATATGACTACCTATTGTATGTTACAATAGGAATGGATTCCTTTACAGGTTGGACTAGTTGGCCCCTGAGGTACTTTTCAACTCTGGGATTCTACAGAATAGAGTTATTAAGGATGAATACTTTAAGCAACAGTAAAAGCTGGATTATATTTTGTTGTGTAGTTCCTATTTGAAGCTACACTTTTTAGTCTAACTTCAATTTTAAAAGTTATTCACCTCAGAGATTCATATCTTAATTTAAAACAAAAATCTCAAAGTGTACAGCAAGAAGTAAATTGCCTTCAAAAACACCTTTACAAATCATTGAGGTTCTCAGCACTTTTGCAATAATTCCCTGTGACTGTATAAAAGGGATTATATTTTGTGATACACATGAAATAGTTCAAAACTGGTATAGATGAATCCATCTGTACCATAGGTCAATTAAAAAAAACCACAACTTTGGGGAATTTCTCTGCAAGATATAATTTCAAATACAGAGGAGACCCAGATGTGGTTATTGGATCCACTCTACATTTCAAACACACAAATCAGAGATGGGTTTTTGCTTGACCTATCTTGAGAGGATATTCTAATTTATAAATTCCTATAGTATTAGAAGGCAGTTAGGATCAAGGAATTGCCTCTCATATTAAATATTTCCCAGAATTGGAGAGCTTCAGATATCATCCCCTGCCCTTTCCATATTCCCTGACTGGTTCTATTTGACAAATGGCCTATTTTAAATACAAATGGATATGTCCACTGTCTATAAAAGTTGATTATAAATGGGATGGGGTTATTTAGAGAAACACTGGTTTCCAGGCTTTATATACAAAGGTTACTTTAATAAAATGTACTTGATTAACTTAGGAAAAACAATCATAGGCAGAACCCTGTGAAGTGTACAGAGGATATCTTATTCTATGGAGTTACTGGATAAAAGGATAATATCATATCTTGCAAAGAAAGTCCTGAAAGGTTTTGAATTAATCTATGAATCTACACATATCAATGGCTAGTGTGCTCACTTCAGAAATTATTTGGTTTATTTTTCAGATTTACTTGCAGTATGAGTTATTTGCTTCTAAAATGCAAACTCCAGAAGGGCAGCGACTTTCATTTATGTCTTTGTATCCCTAATGCCTAGTACAGTGTTTGTCACATAATAGGCACTCAGTAAATGGCTGTTGCCTTCAAAGTATGTGTATCCAAGTTGCAATAGAGAAGCCTCCAAGACTTACGTAATGAATGATACTGCGAGAAGAAGCCTCCAGGAAACTGAGGACTTTTAGGGGCCTAAGTAGTATTTTCATCAGTGCTGCTCATTCAAGGAGTATGATACAGAAAAGAAAAGTGGCTTAGGAAGTGAACAAATGGCTAAGATGATAGGGTCTCAAAATGTCTGGCCACCATTTAGATAGTCATTTAATCTCTCTGAGTCTCAGTTTCTTTACCTGTATAATAAGGGAGGTTGGCCTTGAAGATCTACAAGGTTCCTTCAAGTTCTAATCTATGATTCTATGATCTTTAAATTATTTTGCAGAAATCTGCTTTATGATCAACCTCTAATGAACATATTTTTAAAAACCTGAGTATAAAATAGAAATGTTTTCTGTCTTAGGAGTTAGCTTATCTCCAGCATCAATACTGACTAATTATTTTGAAGGGAAGAAACAACTTCAACTGTTCAATTAGGCTATTAATATTCAAAATGAAAGCTTAAATCCTCACTCAATGTTATTTCAGACTCAAATCTTAAGAAAATACAGGTATTTTATACAATGTAAAAGTTATTACCTTTAGAATGGAAAGAAATGAGACAATCACATAGTGGCCAGTTGTCTACTGGTTCATTCAAAATAACATCCTCTTCAAATATTACTACTGTGATGTATTTAAACAAGGAGACACGTTCAAGAATTTCCTTCATTGGTTTTGATTTGGATTTTTTTGCCATAGAACATATTCCAACTACAATCTGTCTTTCTGGTGGCTAAAAATTGATACAAAAAGAAATGAAAATCCCAATTCACACTGAAAGAAATTCCAAAGCAACACATTAATCAATGGGAAACATTTTACAAAATCAATATTGTTGTCTTGACATAGGTGCTTAATAAATACAACTTGATGATTTTGCTTTAGTATGATACACTACATATTACATACTACACTAATGCATTAGTATTAGAATAGTATAGCACATTTTTTAAAAAGTTGCCACAGCCCTGAATACCTAAATTTCAGAGATGTTTTATGGTTCGAGTAAGAAAAAATAGATAAATATCTTACAAGTATTATTCCTATTAGTCTTGATAAAAAACTCACTTGCTAATGCTATTTAATTTTTCAGACTTTGCTTGTCAAATGATTTACTCTTTAGCTATACAAGTTGGAGCAGACTCACACTACAAGTTATTTTAGGTAGCTAATTTCCTATCAATTTCTTTGTGGCCATTAGAAATGAAGAGGTACACTAAGGCAGTTGTTGTCCTCCCACTCTTTTCTAGTTCCTGTTTTTTTGGGGAAGAGAGGCTGCAGAGAGTGGCAGATGATAGGATAAATACTAGCATTACACAAGGAGATGAATTTTTTTAAAGTTTACAGATCTGATTTTAAAAAATATCAGTGCTCCGGGACAGCTAGGTGGCACAGTGGATAGAGCACCGGCCCTAGGGTCAGGAGAACCTGAGCTCAAATCTGGCCTCAGACACACTTACTAACTGTGTGACTCTGCGCAAGTCATTTAACCCCAACTGCCTCACACACACAAAATCAGTGCTCTGAAAGTGAAATACTTAATAAAACAACAATAATATAAACACATAATAGGTGCTCAGTAAATGGCTGTTGCCTTCAAAGTATATGTATCCAAGTTGCAACAGAGAAGCTTCCAAGACTTGTGTAATGAAAGATACCGAGAGAAGAAGCCTGCAGGAAACTGAGGGCTTTCAGGGGCCTAAGTAGTATTTTCAAATAATTCAATTTCAAATAATTTTTCTTCCTGTTTAGTCATTTCAGTCACATCCAACACTTCACAATTCTTTTTTGGGGAGTCTTAGCAGAAATACCAGAGTGATCTGCCATTTCCTTTCCTAAATCATTCTACAGATAAGGAAACATGCAAACAGGGTTAAGCGCATAGCTAGCAAGTGTCTGACACCAGATTTGAACTCAAGAAGGTGGTCTTCCTGACTCCAGGCCTGGTAATTCTATTCACTTTACCACCTACTTGCCTATTATTTAGTATAGGCAAATCTTAACAATTTGACTTGTCAGTCTATGGTCAATGGTGGTTTTGATAACTAAAGCAAATTTCCAAGATCACCACTTAATAATATGCCCAGTGAAAAGGGATGTTATAGCAGGGAAGGAATCTTCTATGGTAATTATTACATTCTGTATACTTTTCTTTAAAAATGCCATCTCAGAATTAGATTTCTGTTTTGTTTTTGCAGTCCTATTTATGTATATCTTTTAGTGGTAAAGCTGTATTAAAAACATGAAAATAAAAAAATTAGATATAACTGGAATCCCTATGCCAAATAATAGAAAGCTTAACAGATTGTGGATATGCAATTTATGAAAGATTATTTAACAGAGCTAGCTTGAGTATTTAGAGCAAATGCTTTAAGTATTTTATTCTGAAAGTGGAAAACTAAAGATTGATCCAGAGTATTTATTAACTGCTCTCTATTTGAAACATTCCATCTCTTCCAACACCATACCTTAGCACAGGCTGTTTGTTGTCCACACTTCATACCAGACACCCTTCCTCCTCAACCCCCACCCTCCTCCTTCCTCATCTTTTCCTTTAAAGCTCAACTCAAGTACCACCTTAATAAGGCACTCAATGATTCCCCCTACTGTTAGTGAATCTCATCCCATTAGTGCCTATATATTTTATATTGATTTTATCTATCTACCCGTTTTTGTAGAATGGGGGAAGCTCCTTGAAGGCACATGTTACTTCATCGTTAGTTTTTTTATTCCTAATACCTAGCACACTACCTTGCACATACGTGATAGGTGCTTATTAAATGAATGTTCAATATATGCAAACACACCAATTTAAAAGTCAGACAACTGCACTCAATTTTCTTCAAATTTCTTGACCCTCCCACCATTACAAATACAAGTAAATCTGGCTTTCCAATTCTAGTGACTACAACAGGTTATCAAGTGACTAATTAGCTATTTTAGGTGATGAACTTTTACTGAGAAAAACAACAGCTTTTTTTAAAAACAAAATACTCAAGTATTTCCCTAAACCTGGAAAGGTATAAAAGACAAATGTTGAGTTTAAGCTAGTTATCTGCCTGTAATCCTTAACTGCAAAGTAGCAAAGAGCTCAGAACAGCAGGGCAAAATGGAAAACACTGATAACTTTCTGGGAAAAATTTGATTCTATGTCAGGTTTTTTCTTTCTTCCCCAAAATTCACAAAAACTTACAGAATCATCTTCCTCTTCTTCCTCATCTGCATGGCCATAGAAGTGCTGAAAATCTCCAGGCTTAGAGGGATCTCCTAGCTCATCTGTTTCTCCCTCTTCAGTCCCAACAAAGAACCTAGGGATGTTATTTACTATTTCAGGGATAGACATGGTCAGAAAAACTAAATGATCTACATGTGAACAGTAGTTAAGTAAATAGTCTTAGGATAGTGCATTCTCCCAATAGTTGGGTGACACAATGATGCTTTGCAGCTTGTTTCTGCTTACACAATCACTTGAAATTCTGATAAGAAAGTCAGCAGCCAAGTTGCTCTTTTGTTCCCAGATATCACATCTTCATTGTTGACTCAATTTCAAAAACACAAAATCATAGTTTCCCTGAGTTGGAAGGGCGTTCTTTTACCTAAGAAACAAGAATAGAAATAAAAGGTTTATTATGCTTAGTTTCTGGAAAAGCTATGACAGTGATATTTATGTTAGACCAGATACATCTAACATATAATTCCTTTACTTTCATAAAAATAAGAAAAACACATTTTCTCTATTAATAAAATGAGTTTTACCTTTGGTAGGATAAATACAAAAACTCTAATTCCTTAATAGGAGCTGCCTAGAGGCAGTTAGGTGATACAGTGGATAGAATGCTGGGTTTGGAGTTAGAAAGACCGGAATTAAAATCCGACCTCAGACACTTACTAGTTGTGTGACCCTGAGCAAACTGCTTAACTTCTCTGCCTCAGTTTCTCCAACTACAAAATGGGGATAATAATGTCACCTTCTTCATAGGATTGTTGTGAGGATCAAATGAGATATCTGTAAAAGCCAGGGAAATGTTTGTTTCCTTCTCTTTCCCCCTATAAGTTTTGCAGAGTCTCCTTGAATTCTTCCTATTTGTTGTTTCTTACTATAATTTTCCATTTTTCATATATTATAATTAAGGTATCCAATCCCCAAATGACAGAAAATTTTTAGTCTTTTTGATGACATATATTTAATTAATGACTTAGGTCTTTACCTCAATTGTTGTTTCCATGATATCTCCCTCTCTCTCCAGTCAGAAACAAACCCCCCCCTTATAAGAAATAACATAGTTAAGTATAGTGACAATGGCTAATAGTACATGCAATATTTTGGTCTGATGAGGTTGTACCTCTCTTCTGAAAACAGAGGTATGTTTCATTATTTGTGTTCTGGTGCTATTATTGGTTTTTCAGTTACTCAAGAGTTAGGTGGCTTCTTTTAGTGATTTTTTTAACTTCTGTATCTATTTATCTCATTTTAACTCAGTTCATGCAAATTTTCCCTTGTTTCCCTAAATTCTTCATATTCCTCTTTTCTTACTATACAATAATATTCTATTACCTCTTTAGAATCATAGATTTATAGCAATTCCAGAGAGGACCAGATGAAAGCCATTCCTCTGATAGTTTACACTCAATACTGGAATGAAATGAAACAACTGTATTTTGCCATTCAAACAGTCAAGAAAAGGAGATTCACTTAGCCAGAGGCAGGAAAAAGATAGTCACCCTGAAATGACTGAGCAGGATTCAGCTCCCTTGTCTGAGTTGCTCATCATAGTTTACCGGTCAAGCATCGGAGAGTGCCTGGAGCTTTTCACAGCTATTTCATACTCAAGCAACTAGGAAGTGATATCAAAAGCCTGAGCCTTCAGTACCCTGTACCAATTAAGTCTAGAGGATAATTTCAAACTAGTCCAACTCACATGAGGGCAGGGGCTAGAATACCATTCCTAACATAAGAGATAAAGGGGAACTTAGAGGTCATTTAGTTAAACCTTTTTCACTTTACCTAAGGATTGAGGCCAAAAAAGATAAAAAGACTTGACCAAGGTCACAAAGGTCATCAGTGGCAGAGCTGGGATTCAAACCTATGTTCTGACTCCAAAACAAATCATTTTTTCTACCATACTACGTTGCTGAATGCTAAACTTACATATAGTTAATTTGCATCACTTCATTAAATTTGATATTAGACTGTGTAAGTTATCATTACTTTCCCAGGTCTTTCAATCTATGTTCTCAAAGAAAGGTAGCGATCTTACACTTTAAGATGCTTCCAACACCCCAATATTCTTGCTCCAAATTTCCTTCATCTATAGGTTAATAATACTAATAAAAATTGCCTTAATGGCCACTACATATTAAAAAGAAATACATAAAAGTAGTATGGTGCAATGGAAAGAATAATGAATTTGAGATTCATGAACCCAGGCTCTGAATTCATGACTCCCAAGTTCATACACACACACATACACACACACAACACGCACGTGTACATCATACACAAATATATGCATACACACATATAAATAAAATATAATCTTTAATAGATTACTTTCCAGCATTCCTGTTGAAAAAATGGGATTTTTTTTCTTTTCCAGTGGGGTGAGGTGATGGAGGGAGAAATAATAGGCTTTTTTATTATTTTTTAAATGGAGAGGTTGAAGGGGTTGCTACAGCTGTAGAATGTCCCATTCACTTTCAGATGAGGTCACTATATTTTTTAGTTTTGCCCAATTTGTTCTACTTTGTTAAGAGAGACCTCTCACAGAGCGAGAGTAATCTGTAAATGTTTATATTATAAAAGCAAAACATATCAATAAAACTTAAAAAAAGTAAGGCAAATTATCAATGAACTCTAAAAAAATGAAGTTAGAATTAGGAGGCCATTAACTTGGGGAAAAAAATCTCTATAGCAATTTACTTTGATAAAGGTTTGGCATCCAAGATGCATGTGATAAAAATATGTAAGAATAAGAGTCACTGCCCAAATAAAAGTAGTGAGGGGATATGAAAAGTCACTTTTAAATGAAGAAATGCAAGTTGTCATCAACTATATGAAAGAATATAGTGAATCACTAGTAGTACAAGAATTTCAAATTAAACAACTATAAGCTTCCATCTCATACTCATCTGACTGGCAAAGATCAAAAAAGATGGGGCTAGAGAGAAAGGCATATAAATAGGAGGCATCATAGTACAGCAAAAAGCAAACTAGTCCTAGAGTTAGAGGATCCAAGTTCACATCTCCCCTCTGACATTTACTGTATGATCTTACACAAGTCACCTAACATCCTTGGACCTCGGTTTCCTCATCTATTAACAAAATAACGTTGGAGTATATAGTCTAGGGTCCTTTCATGATCTACATCTATGATTTTCTGAATGCAGTGTTGGTAGTTCAGGAGATAAAAAAGATGGGAGATTTTCTTACTACTGTATTCCATTAAATACACACTTTTAAAACAAATCATATAACAGAAGTGCCTGGTTTTATATACAACTCTCTTTATTGTTCTCTGTATACTGAAATCTTTGTGTTAGCTGATGACTAAGTCAACAACTTAAAAAAAAATAATAGCTGTTCAACAATCATATCTACCAGTTCTTTCAGTACCCAAGTATATTAACTTCATTAGTGACTTTTACTCTCTGATCTCTAGTACAAAGGTCATTCACTTTGGAAGAGAAAACAGAAGTAGACTAAGAATTAAATTATATCAGTTAAGATCATTTCATCCATGCTAGCAGTTTTCCTATCCTTTCTTCATTCCTTCTCTTTTCTTCAATATAGCTTTAAAACCAGGTTTTGTAGTGCTTGGCTTTCCTTTCCAGTCTGAACTCATTTTGAGCTTTAGCATTCCTGATAGTATTTTTACAGTACTGTAACTTGTTTGTATATTCATTCTCTTTTACTTTATCTTGCTTTCATCTTCTTTACAGAGTTTAAAAATGTAAATTGGAAGACAAGTTCCCTGGGCATCCACAGAAGCAACTCTGCTTTTTCTTCTTCAATAGAATTGCCCTTCTTCTGAGTCTGCTCTTCCAGGATATAGGCTACAAATCACTTTTCCTGGTATTCATTTTTTCTATCACAAACTCAACATTTAGTGAGCACTGTTTTCCCCAAGGTTCCCAAATTTCAACCCTAGCAATCAGTTCTCCCTTGTTAACAAGAAATCAGATGCAGAATAGAATTTTCCTATTTTGTTCCTTCATCTTTAGAATGATGAAAATATCCTTATGGCAAGGCAAAGCAAAAAATTATTGGCTGCTTTTTGGGAGAGTGCTCCAGTATATTCTGGATAATTGAAGTCTCCCATCTTCACCATATCCAACTTTCATGCCAGACTTTGTCTCTAGAACTAATCTATTTCCCCCACCTTTTTTTGGGGGGGAGGGGGAGGTCAGACAGTCCACAAAATGTCCCTATCACAACAATCCACTATTTCTACCTGCACTGATCTCCAAATGCTCTTCACAATACTTTCTCCCAGGTTCTTGAATTGGCTTCATAATCGTGCCTTACTATAAAATACTGCCCCCTTTTAACCTATCCTGTGTCTTCTGAATTAAGTATATCTATCCAGAGCCAAATTACAGTCATGGGGCTAACCTTATCAACTCTGAATAACAGCTATGAAGTCAAATTAGCCTCTTTGCACTGGGACCTGACCAGTAGCTTGTGGCTATTTATAGGGTGGTATCTTTGTGTACTGATATTTAAAGTCATGGATTTTACTACTAGCCTCTTTCTTGGATTCTATCGCCTATGAACATCTGGATGTCACAACTTTTTTCTCTTCATACATTGTAGCTACTCTCTAGGATATCTTTCTTATAATATATTCAGTTTTCTTTTCACTCCCATCCTTTTCAGTTATGATTACAAAGTTTCTTTCACATTATCTCCTGAACAAATAAATCATCTTTGTTTAAATGGTCATTTACTTCAGCCTACAGAGGAATGTGGCTAACTCCCAGCAACCAGACGTTCTTCTGACTTCTTGTTATATGAAAGGGACTGCCAATGTTTGTCTAAACTTGCCATTGTCCTCAAATGTTTTATTCGGTACTTGATGCTTTACTGGGTGAATGAAGTGGACACCATCCCAGGTCTAGTCCCTCTAAGAGACTATAGTCTAAAATAGATAACTGATATAGTAAAATATTTCAGAGAGCACAGAGAAACATATTATTGTAGATACATAATATGCAGTTTTGAATTTATTCACAGGTTGTGTTCCAAAAGTTTGTTTCTAAGTTAGTCTTCCAAAATTCTGAATCCTTTTTTCATGGAAATAATGGCTCTATCCTTTCCCTATGCATTTCAAAAATATATCTCATATTGTCTTGCTAAGGCCAAAGTTTTTCCACTAACAAATAAAAGTATTTAGCTGCCAATGTTCTAAAAAGGGTACCAGCAGCCCCATCAAAACAACAAATGTTCATTCCGATTTGGGTTATCTTGAGACAACACAATTGGTTTACTATCCAATCTAATAGTGACTTCATAGTGGGGCTCTCACATGGGTTAGGGAGATATTTTTAGACAGGCCTTTTTAGCATCACCTTTATCATACCATACAGGTGGCCTCCA